TGCATCGACCCCCGCCGCCATCGGGAACGCGACCGCGGGGGAGCCCCGCCAGGGTCCCCGCACCTGCATCTGCGAGCGGGACACGGCTGATTTTAGGAGGAGCAATACTGGGGACATCGCTGTGATACGGGGGCTGTCACCGAGCTCGCAGCCGCACACGTACCGGTCCAGAATCATGAAAACCTATAGTTATAGCAACACACGATATTGTGGATGATTATAATTAGACATATTTAAAATAGATTACATTGTAGTAAATAATGCTGTATGTTCGGATATTATGTATTATTACATGCTACTTTATTACATGTTATTATTATTTTATACATTATTATGTTATATGTAATGCTGTGTGCAGTATACGTAATATACATTTACCAACATATTACATATATTTTATATATTCTATTATATGCTGCATACTGTATACCATATATTGCATCTTATTACATTGCATTACATTACAGATTGCATTAATTATGCACTACTATATATTTGCCATATTCAATCATACCATATTATATTAATAATACTTCTATTAAATATAGTCCATAAACCATTCTACATTCTACAGTTTATATGTTACATAATATACGCTATGCTATATATATGTTGTACTATGTTGTATTATATTGCAGATTATACTAATTCTATTATATACTGTGTAGTATATAGAATTTAATATAGTACATATTATCTACTGTATGATAAAATTCAATATTTTATGATCTATATTCTACAAGATAGTATATGTGATGTATGACATCTGAATTATATATATTAGGTGTGGTATTAATTTATATTATTCTTATAGATATCATAGTTTATGTTTTATATTATTATCAATAATATGATATTAGATATATTCTCATATAATAATTATACTACAGATGTTTACAAATATTTTTATAGATAGGACTATACATATTAAAATGTTTCAGATATATATTTTATATAATATATTACTATAAATTATATCTATTACAAGATATATATCATCTATTATGAGATATTATTATAGTTGAGATTTTGTTTGTGTTTTTTGATTTTTCCCAGGTACTTTATACTATTGGCAGCTATTCCCACTATTATTTCTCCAGGCAACTGAGCAGCCATGAAGCTGGAGCAGATGGGGCAGCACTCACCCCATCCCACAGGAGTGAGGCAGTGAGACAAAATGGCCATGGTTCAGGTAGCAGAATTGAAAAAACATCTAATTAATGGGCAACAATTAATCTTCAGCACAGTGACACACTCACTCCAGGCCTCCCAGGGACCCCAACCCTGCTTGGATCTCAGGCCTTCCCATGGACCCTGCTGCTCTCTTGGAGACCCCAACCCTCAGGAGACAGAGAGAAGAGCCAGGCTCCACTTTCTTTCTCCTCCATAAACACTGATAAAATCCCACTGGACATTTCCTTCTCCCTGCTGAACTGTCCTGCTCTTCCAGCTTCCCTTCCTATGGGAAATGCTCCAGACCCTTGGTGGCCCTTTGTGGTGTCTCTCTAGTACTGGATGCAGAGTTGACCTCTGGGGTACAGCACCAGTCTCCAGCCAGACCTGATCTAGCCTTTTTTGTCCCATTTTCAATCCAGCAGTCCAAGTAATATTCATTTTTATGCTCAGAATTAAATGCCAGCAGTGAAAGAGGCAGATGTTTGTCTCAGGAGGCCATGGGGAGCAATGAGCAGCCTCGCCTTTTCAGGTCTGTCAAGGTGGGACATCACTTGACAGTGGCTTCTGGGGTAAATGAGAAAACAACAAACAAAACAGGGTTGGCACAGGGTTTCCATGTAACTGTTTATTGCCAGGATTGACAGGAGGATTGACAAATCACTGGTGTAGTTCTGGTCCCCGGAGGAGAATGCTCCAGCCCCACTTGTTCCCCAGAACACCATCACCTCCCTCACTGCAGCGCTGGGGACACCTGGGAAAAAAGGTTTGGTGACACTTGGCTGGAACAGGTGCCAAGGTGTCCCAGGGTGGTGGCATCTGATCTGCTGGTGGCACCCACCATGGCACCAGCAAGGTGGCCCAGCCCCAGGAGGGCAAGGGCAAAGTGGATGCAGTTGCAGGTGATGATGTTGTACTCCACTGACTGGTCCATGGCTGCCCGGATCCGCCGCTGCAGGGCAGCCACATCCAGCCCTCCCTTCCTCCGCAGCACCTTGGCTGGGCCCCGTGTCCGCAGGAGTTGGCTCTTGCCGTGCTTAGCCACGATGCCTGATGGTGATGTCCCTGAGCTGCCTGCAGGGCGAAGTGGAGTCCATACCCTGTGTCCCTTCCACGGAGATATCCCCACGCCATGATACCCCCTGGGGCTCACCTTCCAGGTGGATGATCTCCCCATCACCACAGTAGATGCCAGCGTGGGAGCCCCACCAGCCAGGGCCCCCAGAGGCCAGCGGGAAGAGGAAGAGGTCCCCAGGCTGGGGCTCAGCCACCCCGTTGGGGACCATGCTGAAGTGTTGTCGCAGCAGCCCCTCGCAGAGGAAGAACCCTGCCGTGGTCACTGCCCCAGTCACTGTCTGGGGACCCAGCCGAGTTTCAGGGCCACAGGTGCCCTGGGGACACCGGCAGCATCACTGACCTGCTGGCTCATCCCACATTCTTGGTGGCTTAAGCACAGCTTGGGTCTCGGGTCTCCATAGATGGAAACCCTCTGGGAAGGGGCTGCCTCGTCTAGGTGCTGAAGCACCCATGGGTGCCAAGGAAAAGGAAGGGTGTGCAGGATTGTGCCAGGGGTGAGACAGGCAGTGCAGGGCACAGGTGCAATGCCAGCACTTACCTGCCTGGAGCTGCTCACCTGGAGGGACAAACACCTTGCATCAGCCCCAGTGTCACCTGTGTCATGGCTCAGTCCTGGCCTGGGCTGCTGCCACCCCCTGCCCAAGCGTCTGGCTGGGATTCTCATGCCAGCACCCCCAAACCTGACGCACCCAGGAGCTCAGCCAGTGCCAGGGCTGGAGGAACAGCCAGTCGGGAGCTTGAAGGGTCTGAAGGAGGGAGCTCATCTGTGGGGAGAGGGGGCAGGGCAAGACGGGGACCCATCCCCTTCTGACACACCCATCCTCTGCCACCACCCATCTCTGCCAGCGCACAGTCCAGCCCAGCCCAGCCTCCCAGGCCACATATCCCTTCCCCCTGCCCAGACCCAGCACCAGGCAAGGTCCCAGCTGTGGCGTCCAGGGGCACTGGGTATCATGGCAGATATCACAGGTATCACCTGGATGCAGGTGTCCTTCCTGCTGGCTCCCCCTTTACCTGAGCGAGGAGATTCATCTGCAAAGAGAAAACACGATGTCCCGAGAGCTGGGGATAGGTACCCCGTACCTCGGGGACTTCTCAGTTCCCACAGTTCTGGTGACATGACCCTGCTGAAACCCAAGCTGCAGCCTCAGTGCTCATTCTGTGCCCTGCTGCCTCACCTTGGGGTCACCTCCAAGGTCCTCTCACTCCGCTGTGTTTCCCAAGCTGCCGCTGCTCCAAACGTGGCTGCGGGGCAGGACGTCAGCCCGCCCCGGCGAGCACCGCGGTGGCTCTTGGCACCGGCACATGGCTCCACCAGTGCCTGGGAATGTGCCCGGACCGGCTGCACTGTGGCACTGTGCCCATTCTGTAGGGCCAGTCCCAGGGGGACAAACCCAACCTGGTGTGACATTTCATCCACAAACCTCTTGGGTGACCCCAAAGGAGCCGTGGAACAGCCCCGTGGCCACAGTGTCTTGGCAACCAGTGACCACCAGGCTTATGACAAATCACTTCTTGGTGCCAAAATCCTCTGGCCCTGGGAGGCCATCAGCCTGTACCCAGCCCCACATCCTTGGGATGGCCACCATGTCCTCAGCCCTGTTGCCCCAGAATGGTGCATGCCCGGGGTCAGCTCCAGAGTCACATTAAACTTTAATCCTGGTGCCAGGGGTCAGTGAAGGCTTTAGTAGGGCTCAGGTGGGTGACTGTCACCCTCTGTCATCGGGCAACCTCCAAAGAATCATTTATCAAGGAGCCTTCAATAAACAAGAGCTAATTACAGGTGAAACCCGAGCCTGGCCTGGACCCAGCTCAGTGCAAGCGGACACACATTAACCCTTCCCAGCCACCTCCAGTCCCACAGCCACACTCCCAGAACTTTATGTCATCTTCTTGTTGGTCTTGTCCCCTTCTGATCTCCACCATCACCTTGTCTCTGTTGTCTTGTCCAATATATCCATCACACCCTTCTCATTCACATCCTTCCCTCCCAGTCCCCATTATCTCATCTTGGTCCTTACCATCCTCTCATGATCTCCATCCACCCCTGTCACTGTCGGACATTAAATGATTCACACGGATGCAGCTCAAAGTGTGGTGAAGAAAGAAGTTTATTTGTTCTTTCCGTATTTATAGGTTTTTGACCATGACCAGGGATTGGATAGTCAGGTCACCACCTTCCCAACCACACTGGCCATGAGAGACATCCATCAAAAGGCATGTCTTTAATGGAATGTATAAACACCTATGTTTACAGTTACTTTCTTGGGAAAATGGCTAGAAATTATGAAAACAATATCAAAAGGCCTGATTCTCAGGGAGACACACCCCTACTGCATCCCTTCATGATCTCCATCATCCCTTCCTGGTCACTGCTGTCACCTCCTGCTCTCTACATTTGTCTTTGTCTCCAGGTCACCATCAAGGCATTCCCATTGTCCCCTCCTGATCATCATTATTGCCTCCCAGTCCTCATCACCTCCTTGTTCCCATCAACCCCTCCTGATCCTGGTCACCTCTTGGTCTCCATCATCTCCCCTCCCTCCCCCACTGGCTCCTCTTCATCTCCATCATGGAGACCTGACTGGATCCCACTGTCTCCCCTTGGTCCCCAGTATCTCCTCCTGATTCCCATCGTTGTTCCCATTGTCTCCTCCTTGTCCTCACTGCCATGTCCCATTCCCCACCACTCCGTGCCATCACCAACAGGAGTGGGACTGCCAAGGCAATGATGCTTCCCTGGCCAAGCTGTCCCTGGCCAGGGCGTATCCACCAGCTCTGCACAGCCAGTGGGATTAGGGTGGCTGGAGCCCTGGGGCTCCTGACCGTAGGTCCCAAGCCCATTGCCAGCATCTTTGGGTAATTAGTAAATTAGTAATTAAACACTCTCTGCCTGCTGGGGGGAAGGGGGATAGATCCCAAGGTTTTAGGCTGGGTAATCCCATGGCATCTGCCCCAGCATCTGTCACCGAGCCGAGTCACGACCCTGCCTCGGGCTTTAACATTTGCTCCTTCACCCCCACCCACCACCCACAGCCCTTCGGCCGTGGCGTCAGGCCTGCTCCTGTGACACCCAAAACAGGCTGGGTTGGGCTCCCACGGGTGCCCAGTTGGGTGCTCGTGGAGTCCTCATCCCCAGAAAGAGGACAGGGTGCTGCTCCGTAGGGATCCCACCAGTGACAGCACCCAGCTGGGTGTAATGGAGAAACGGGGTGGGAAACCATATTTTTGTAATTATTGGCTTTCCTGGGGGTGCTGATGATTGGCTAGCAGCAGATGGTTGGCCCAGCTAATCCCCCTCCCAAATCCCTGCTCCAGAGCTGGCTTTTACCCAACGGTGAGGAGGGGACGGGCAAATTAGCCGACTCAGTTGTATTGCCACGCTGGCCGGTCCCCGCTGTCCCTGGTACTGTGTCCCCATGGGAGGGCTGGTCCTCTGGGATGCAGATGTTCCTGGCACCCCCGGGTCGGGCACTGGGGGGTGTTTCACCCATGGGTGAGAGATGTGGGGGCACCCAAGGGCCGGGCAGGGAGGTGACAGCTTGCTCCCACCGCATTAGCCCAGCGTCATAATTCTGCCGCAGGAGGAGGCGGCCGCTGCCGCAGATGGTGGCGGACAGAGATCTGGGTCAGGACAGGGGGCTGAGGGTGGGACAGGGCATCCTGGAGAAACAGAGGGTCCCAGGGTGGGAGGGGGCTGCAGGCAGGGAGTATGGAGCCGTGGGGAAGGCAGGGATGGGGTCATGGTGCAGACAGGAAGGATGGTGGAGCCGCATAGAGTCAAGAAGGCTGATGGAATGCTGCTGCTCATGGGAACGTGGAGCCATGGTGCAGGCAAGGCTGAGTCACACGGCAGACACTTAAAATGGAGAAAGGCTTCAGGCAAAAGGGATGGCAGCAGGTTGTAGGCAGGAGGATGGAGCCATGCCGCAGGCAGGGGGATGCAGGAATGCTTCAGGCAGCGGGGATGGAGCCACAAGTCAGTCAGGGATGCCGGAGGGATGACCCCCAGTCCCCGGATCCGCTGGAGTGACTGCTGCCAGCCCTCAGCAGGGACGTGCTGCCAGTGCTTGTCCCCTGGGACGCCTTCAGGGCATCAACACCCCTGAGCCCCTCTGGAAGGGGCACAGCAGGCCGGGAACCCCTGTCCTCAGCCTGGCCCATCGCTGGGGACAAGGCTGGTCCGTGACGGTGGCCACCCGCCGCCCCCCTGAGCGGGGCGGGGTGGGGGTTTAGCGGCTAAAGCCCACAAATCCCAAATTGTGCTGCCCTGTCACCGCGAGGGTTTAGCGGTGGTTGCGTAACCCCGGGGGCCACCTGGCCCCCACCTTCTGCGGTGTCAGCAGTCCCAACATCCATGGAGTCCCCGGTCCCCGAGAGGGGATGCTGAGGCGCAGCGGGACCCCTACCGAACATCCCCCCTCCCTCGCCATCAGGGCCGGTAATTAATTACTTGGGGGCAGGGAAATTACCCCCCTTAATTACCACTTTTCGTTATTCCCCTCTAACCGCCTTAGTGAAGGGCTTATGCGCTTACAGGACCCGGCGGGTCCCAAGGGGAGGACGACACATATGGGGGGTCCCCAGCCCAAGCCCCATCTCCCACCTCCGCCGCAATCTCGGGCTCGCAGTGCTGGGGGGGCACGGACAGGGTGACACCTCCAGCGGCGGCGCGCGGGGGGGTGGCTTGGGTGTCGCGGGGTTTAGGGTTACAGGGCTGGGGCTCAGCACCTTTTTAATTCTTCATCGCGTGGCTGATTGATCCCCCCCGCTCCGCGCAGACACTAAAGATTAAGAGGGTGACAAAGAGGCGGCTGCTTACACAGCGCCCGCCGCTAAGCCGCCTTGAAGAGAGCAAGGCAAGAGCCCCGCTGGCCGCAGAGCTGCCGGAGCACCCAGCGCCTGGCCAGACCCTCCGCGGGGATCCAGAGGGACGGGACAGGGATAGGTCGGGAACGCCGGGTGCGGGATGGCTGCGTCCCCGGCGGGGTCGGTGGTGAGCGCCGGGCTGGATGAGAGTGCCACGGGTAAGAGGTGGTTCCACTGGACCGGGTGCGACACGGAGGGACGTGGGTTTTTCTCTGGGATGGCTGGGCCCCCACTCTGGTCATTGCCCAAGATGCCTGGGGGTCTTCTTCATGGTTCTCCTCTTGGATACTTGGAATTCCCATAATGGTCAACCACCGACATACTTGGGGTCCTCCATTGCAGTTTTTTTCTGAGAGGCCTGGGACCATCGCAGCTTTCTTCTGGATGCCTTTGGACCCCATTGTGGTCCTTCTCTGAGATATCTTGGGAGTCCCTATTATGGTTCATCTCCAAGACACCCAGTGCCCCCATCATAGTTGTTTGGGATGTTTGTGTTCTTTGTTGCCACCCTCCTCCAGAATGTCTGAGCTTCTCCTCATGGTCCTTGTCCTGGATGCCCAGGGTCCCCATCATGGTCCCCTAGGATGCCTGGGGTCTTCAGCTGTCCTCCTTTTCCAAGATGCTGAGTCCCATCATGGTCCTTCCCTAGGCCAGGATGCCTGCAGCGCGCGATCCTCTCCATGGTATTCACGGTCCTCATTTGTGTTCCTTCTCCAGGATTCCTGAGGTCCCCAGTCAAAACCCTCTCCTGGATACCCTTGGTCCCTGGCCCTTCACCAGGATCCCCACAGTTCCCTCTTGTGACTCTTGCCTGGGGTGCCCCATGTCCCCAGAGCTGCCCCTTCTCCAGGACACGTCCCATCCCTGAGTGCAGCTCTTCTCTGGGATGCTCAGTCCCCTTCCTGGGATGCCTGGTGTCCCCTTCCCTAAGAACACCATTTCATCCCTTTATTATTTTTCAAAATTCCTGTGAGAGCCCATCCTGCATCACTCTGTGTGCTGGCATGTGGGAAGATGGTGAACCCGCGTGGAGTCCCCGAGGTATCCCCATTCATGTCCCTGGGCTGAACCAGCAGAGACAGGAGCCACCCCATCTCCAGGATGTCGGGGGGCAGCCGGGACTGGTGGGTCAAGCGAGGGACATCGGGATGCCCGGAGTCAACCCAGATATGAACGTTCCACTTCCACAGGGCTGGCCCTGGCTCCCGGGAAGGAGCTGAGCCCGGTGCTGCTGTGCAAGGTGTGCGGGGACACCAGCAGTGGGAAGCACTACGGCATCTATGCCTGCAACGGCTGCAGCGGCTTCTTCAAGCGCAGCGTCCGCAGGAAGCTCATCTACAGGTGGGAACAGTCACGGGAGTCCCCACAGGACAGGGGATGGGGGGAGGAGCAGCCAGAGGGGCAGGGAGCCTGCAGGACACCCAGCGGGACAGGGAGCTTGGGGGCAGGCAGGCACTCAGTGGGGTAGGGCAACCCGGGATGGACACTCAGCAGGCCAGGGACCCCAGGGCATGGGCAATGGGTGGGGCAGAGACCCAGGGGGACTTCAAAGCACACAGGGGACCGACATGCAGGGGGGAGGCACCTGTGGAGAGGGTGTCCAGAGACCCCCGATGGGGCCATAACACCCATCAAGGCAGAGCATTCACTGGGACAGGGATCCAGTGGGATCATTCACTGGGACAGATGGACACAGTGGGGCAGGAGTGGGGGGAACAGGCACCTAGCAGGGTAGGGACACCCCTTGGAGTGGGGACAGGACACCTCTAGGGGACTGGGTGCCCACAGTGGTGGGACACTTGTTGGATGGAGGAAACCCATGGGGGGAGACATGGTACCTATGGGAGAGGACCCTCCTCGGGGACAGGGGCCACCTCAGGAGCTGCAGCCACCTCTCCCCATAGGTGCCAGGCGGGGACGGGGCTGTGCCCGGTGGACAAGGCTCACCGCAACCAGTGCCAGGCCTGCCGGCTCAAGAAGTGCCTGCAGGCTGGCATGAACAAGGACGGTAAGATGGGGGGGTCACATAGTGACAAATAGCAGGGGGTGACAGCAGGGTGGCCGGTGCTGATGCCACCTTGTCTGTACAGCTGTGCAGAACGAGCGCCAGCCCCGCAGCACGGCCCAGGTCCAGCTGGACAGCATCCAGCTGGATGCTGAGCTGCCCCCTGAGCATGTGGCCACCACATGTGAGGTCCCCCCATCACCCTGTCCGGCTCCTCGTGGTCCCAGTGCTACTGTCACCCCGGGTCCCCGAGCACCCACACCACCCACCAACCATCGCTTCATGGCCAGCCTGATGACAGCCGAGACCTGTGCCAAGCTGGAGCCCGAGGATGGTGGGTAGCTGCCATTGGAGAGGGGGTGGGTGGGTGGCAGATGTCCCCATGGTGTGGTGACAACCAGCGTCCTCTTTCACCCCTGTAGCTGATGAGACGGTGGATGTGACGGGCAGCGAGCCAGAGAGGGCAATCGGCGAGTACCAGGTGGCGCCGTACCCAGCAGCCAGCCCCGAAAACATCTACGAGACCTCAGCTCGTCTCCTCTTCATGGCTGTGAAATGGGCCAAGAACCTGCCCGTCTTCTCCAACCTGCCCTTCCGCGACCAGGTGGGGCTGGCAATCTCCATGAGGAACTGGGGATCTGCCTATGGGGCAACAGGAGCCCCCAAAAGTGTAGCAGCCTGTTGGGGTAGCTGGAGCATCTCCACACCATTCTTGGGGTTCCCTTGCAGATGTTAGTCAGCCCAACCAGATGTGGTGGCTACAGGTCCTGGAGACTGGGTGTGACAGAGCTTTTGCAGCTCCCTCCCACTCTCCCCAGGTGATCCTACTGGAGGAAGCGTGGAGTGAGCTGTTCCTGCTCTGTGCCATCCAGTGGTCCATGCCTCTGGAGAGCTGCCCACTCCTGGCTGTCCCTGAGCCAACCCCTGGGAAGCTGCTGCCGGCCACCCTGGACGTGCGGGTGCTGCAGGAGACCCTCGGCCGCTTCAAAGCATTGGCCGTTGACCCCACGGAATTTGCCTGCATGAAGGCTGTGGTGCTCTTCAAACCAGGTGAGGCCACCCCCAGCACCCACCACTGGCCATCCCTGCGGCCCTCCCCAGCTTGTCACCCCCTTGTCCCCACAGAGACACGTGGCCTGAAGGACCCTGAGCAGGTGGAGAACCTGCAGGACCAATCACAGGTGATGCTGGGCCAGCACAACCGTTCCCACTACCCTGGGCAACCAGTCAGGTACTGCTATCCCCACGTCCTCACGGGTGATGCCAGGGTGGGACACCCACCCATGGCCACCACTCCATCCCCCAGGTTTGGGAAGCTGCTGCTGCTGCTCCCAGCGCTGCGCTTCATCTCCTCGGAGCGTGTGGAGCTGCTCTTCTTCCGCCGCACCATCGGCAACACCCCCATGGAGAAGCTGCTGTGTGACATGTTCAAGAACTGAGCCCCCTTCCCGCTGTCACCTGGCTTGGCACCCTGCGCTGGCACCCTGCCACCCCCACCCTGGGCCTCCTCAGCCTGGGGTGGGGAGGTGCCCATGGTCCCATCTCTGGGGCAATGTCCAGGACTGTGGAAAGCTGCCGGCAGCTGGGAGGTGAGGCCACCTTCCCCGGCGGTGGAAGGGGGATGTCCCCAAGTGAGTGCCCAGTGCCCTGGCAGCACCTCACTGCTGGTGTCCCAAACGCTGGAGGAAGCCCGGCAAAGGCACCTTGGCACCACGAGGAGCTGCTGCCATCCAGGGGCCACTGGTCTGGGGAGACACTTGCCGAAGGATGATGCCAGCTTGGGGCATGACATCAGCCAGGGATGACAAGGGCCAAGGGTGGCGCCAGCCTGGGAGTGACACTGGCCCAGGGGTGACACTTGCCAAAGGTGGTGCCACCAGCCGGGGACAGACCCTTGCCCCCGTGTTCCGGGGTCTTCCACTTGTGTCCCCCATTTTATACTTGGAATAAAGAGAGTTTTGCAGCCACAGTCCCTGTGCCAATGACTTGGGTCCCCTTGGATGGGGGGAACAGCTGAATGTTAATAACCTCAACAGAAAGAAATAGTCTGAATGTCAGTACCTTGAATATTAGTTCCGTTGAATGGAAATAAACTATATATAAGTAAAATTAGTATAAATAATCTGAATTAAATAATCAATATAAGTAAGATAACTAGAGAAACAGGAATAAAAATAAAATTAAAATAAATAATCTGAAATTATCAGAATATAAAAAAGATAAATATAAATAAGCTGTTTAGAAATAATCTACTGGAAAGAATCTGAATGAAATAATTTTAACAGAAATATAATGAAACAAAATAAACTGAAATACTCTAAATAGAATTTAGCTGAAAATAAACTATGTTAAGCTAAGTAGGGGAATATGAATAATCTGACTGTATAAAATGGAATGAAATAGTACAAATACAAATAAAATGAAATTAAATAATCTTAATAGAAATAAAATGCATGCAAATTATTGGAATGTAAATACCTGCTTTGAAATCTCCTTAATTAAATAATCTGAATAGAAAGAAAATGAAACGAAAACATCTGAAATAACATAAATAGAAATAAACTGCAAATAAACAAACTGCATATAAATAAGAGAAAAGTAATAAATCTCACTGAAAGTCATTTGAATTAAATTATGTGGACAGAAATAAAATGAAATAATCTAAATAGAAGTAAGTTATAAATAAATTGTCTGAGTATAAAGTCTACCTAAAACTAATCTGCATAGAAATAACCTGAAATACTCTGAATACAGAAGAATTGAAAAGAAATGATCTAAATATAAATGAAATATAAATTATGTGATTAAACTAATTAATAATATACTATAATATAATAATATAACTATAAATAATCTGTATATACATAAATAAAAAAATAATAAAAACATATACATAAAAAATAAAAATAATGTGAATAACAAGTAGGAGAAATAGAAATTCTCTGAACATAAATAAGGAGGATGTGAATAACCAGCATTAAACACCCCAAAGGGAAGTGATCTGGAGCCCGGCTCCTCCATGCACACGGCATTGGGATGTGGAGCTGCTCCATCCATGTGGGGATTGGGAAAGTGCACACCTTCAGAACCCCGGGGAAGAAACGGAACAAGCCCCAGACAGCCGGGATGTCCCCCTGGGAACTGTTGGCCTTTGCAGAATGACACTTTTATTTGTCCTTTTTTGTCAGTTTGTACACGGCTCTGAGCGCGGGCGACGCGGGGTAATAAATCCTCTTCCATACAGACTCTGTTTAGTTTACAAGCAGCGACTTTATAAATTACTTAGAAAACTTTCCATGAAAAATAACAGTAATTCCCCTCGCAGCCCTCCAGTAGTCAGTACATTCATCCCTCTGGAAAACCCTCTGGGACCCCAAATCCTGCCAGGGAAGGGCTGGGAAGGAGATGCCGGGGGAAGGGGCCCTGGAACAAACCATTGTCCCTCCAGTCCTGCTCAGCTCCTGCCAGAGCTGGGTGCTTTACATACATACATATAGATATATATGTATGTATGTATTTCTTTGACATATGTTTTTCTTTATACATATAACCACAAATATATTATATATATATAAAGAAACATATTTTCTATATATTCTATATATATTCCATACATTTACCTATGTCAACAAGTCTATTTTCTTTACATATTTTCCCCATATTCCATACATTTTTATATATGTGAAGAAATACAGAGAAAATAGATTTCTTTATATATACTATATATTTCCTTTATATATTTCTTTACAGAGAAATACACTCTTTATATAAAGAAATATATAAATGTATGTGAAGAAACATATATAAAGATACATATTAAACATATATTAAATATATGTTTAAATCATATAACATTAAATATGTTTCTACATAGATAAGAAATACATTAAAATATATATAAAGCAATAAATATTTTTTATATATAGTACATATCTCCTTTAAATATACATACTCCTTATATATAAATATATAAGCATATATACATAAAGAAGTAAGTATTCTTTATATATAGAATATCTTATATATTTATATATAAATATGTACTATATATAAGAAATAGAAAATACATAAATGTATTTATTCTTAATATTCTTTTATGTATTTTTAATTATACAGAGATATCTATTCTTTTGTGTGTGTATTTTCTTTATATATAGAATATATATATTATTATATATGTTCTTTATATATATAAATATCACTTAAATATATTTTCCTTATATAGAGATTAAATATATATAAGGAAAATAAATATACTCCAAAAGAAATTAGATACATATATATATATATACAGATATATACAGATATATACATATATACACACACATATATGTATATATATATATATATATATATGTATATATATGTGTGTATATATGTGTGTATATATGTATATATATATATATCTATTTGCCCAAACCAGATCTGACGTCCCTGCTCTGATCCCACAGGGATGAGAAAACTGAGGATGAGGCTGGACCCTTCACTGGTCCCCAGGCTCTCCTCCCCTGGGGCCATTTTAAGGGCAGTTCAGGGGTTTTTCGTTCAGGAGGCTCAAAAGGCTGGTTTGGCACCAGGCACTCGGATGCTCCTGGCAATCCCAGCTCCCAGAGAATTTATGGTGGCTCCCCAGGAGTTTCCTCTTTCATGGTCACCATCCGCACTCCCAGTGCATCTGGGTTGGTCCCCAAAGCCCTGTTTTTCCCTCTGGGGCTGGGAAAATCCCGTTTTCCCCCATGGATGGGGGTGATTGACTCGGTCTTGCTCCACTCCCAGGAAGCAGCACCGGGGCTGATGCTGTTCCCACTTTCCCTGTGGCATCTGTCACTTCACCCATTGGAAAAAAATTAAAGATAACATGAAAAAAAAGGTCAGATTTCAAATATCTAATAAAAAATAACCCAAATAAATAAAACATCCCTGGAATGGGTGGGGGAGAGGGGACTGAGGAGCTTGGACAAACCCAGGCCTGCCAGGAAAAGACAAAATACTCAGGAAAACTCCATTTTTTCCTATTTTCCCCATTTTTGATGGCATTTAGGGAAAGGACAAGCCCCAGCCCAGCCCACCTGGGAGGACAGATCCAACCTTTATAAATCTAATTAGTGCCCTGGGACTCCTAATTTTGCCTTTCGTGAGGTTTTCTGGTACTCAGAGCTTCTCCAGGTGCCACCAATTGTGATGAGATGACCGGAGAGGGATTACAAGCTGAGTCATTAACAAGCATCGTTGATTAGTCCTATGATAGGTTATGATGGGCTAATTACACCTCCAGGGATTTCCTGCTGAAATTGAAACTCCATGTTTTATTGAGTGATGGCTGGTGACACCAGTGGTGACACCAAGGATGGCTCAGCCAATTGCTCCCCTCCTCTCCAGCCCAAAAAATTATAATAACAATAATAATAACAGTAAAAAAAAAAAAAAAAAAAAAAAAAAAAAAAAAAAAAGACATTCTGTCTGGGGAAAAATATTTTAAAAAGAAATTAAAAAAATATATATTTACAGGAAACTCCAGGAACCAGCATATAAACAAATATCGCTTCAAGTAGTCCTCGATTATTATTAATTATTATTATTTTTAATACTGATGGTCTCTGAAAAAAAAAAAAAAAGAGGGAAGGTGGATAGGTCTTGTTAAAAAATAAAAAAAACAAAGGGAAAAGGTCATTTTTGGCAGGTTTTAACACTTTTCCATGCACTCGGCGTTGGCGTGGATGAGGTGATTAAAGCAGGGAGGGCTTGGCTGCAGTGGAGCCGGCTCGGGATGCTCCTGTGGGATTCTTAGGCTTGGTTTGCTCCTACCAACAGGCGATGGTGATTCAGCACAAGGATTTGGCGGCGGATGCTCTGAGACGTGGGATGCTCCAAGGGGAAGGGCCAGGAGCCGGCCAGTGCCTCCCATCCCTGTCCACCCCCCCGGCCACCTGAAGGTCTTAACCCCCATAAATCATTAAGGCTACCATTCAAACCCTCCCCTCCTGGCCTTTTAAACTAAGAATTCATCTCCTGGCGTTAGCGAGGAAGCCAGCAGAGCACTGCCAATGGGGAGGACGCCCCGGCGTGGATGTGGCCTCGGGGTGGAACATCTCAGACCATGAACTCGTTGCTCCCCAAGAGGACGAGGGGTTGGGCGGCGGCACAATCAGCCTCAGGGTTCCTCTTGCGTCCCCCTCCAGGCCCCCCATCCGGGGGCTCTTTGGTTTTTGGGGGGGAAGTTTTCACACTCTTCAGTTTCTGTTTGCCTTTCTCCGGGTTGAAGGTCCCGCGTGTGGTGAACTGCGGCCGGTCCTCGGGGTAACGGAGAGGCCCCGCCAGGCCCTCGGGGCTCGCCCGGCTTTCGGGGGCCTCGCCGTGTCCCCCCGCTCGGTAGAAAGGAGATTTGGAGTACATCTGGAAGCGCTTCCGGGGCAGGTGGGGCAAGCAGGAGGTGGATGACTGGGAGGAGGAGGAGGAGGAGGAGATGGGGGTGTCACTTGGCTCTGCCGGCTCCAGCCGCATCCTGGGGTGCCGTCGCAGCCGGCTTGGCCCCTCGGCCTTGGCGGGGCGCAGGGAGGTAAGTGCTACACTTCTCTCTGCAGGGGCAGAAGGACCACGGATGGTCAATACACGGACACCACCCAGAATCCAACCACCCTGCTCCCTGGGGACATGTCATTGAAACCAGGAGACATTCCCAGCATCTCAGTGGGGGCAGCATCAGCCCAGATGATGCTGCAGTGCTGGAAGAATTTTCACCTCCTTACCAACACTGGCTGCTGCCACCTATCCCCCCAGGGCCACGTGCTTGAACCCTTAACCCCCTCTCTGCACACATTTAAACTGTCAACTTAAAATAAACTTGAAAATCCCAAATAACCCTACCCAAAGTGACAGAAAAGCATGGTGGGAGGTGTGCCTGCCCATGGCAGGGAGATGGACTTCTTGATCTTTGAAGGTCCCTTCCAACCCAAACCGCTCCATCATAAGCCCAAGAACATCTGGATTTACCCGAGCGATCGGAGATGGCTCCTTCGGAGTCGAAGTTCAGATTTTCGGAGCTGTCAGCTGTGCCAATGGAGGCTTCGGACTCGAGGGTTTCGTCGTCGGAGGCACGGGGCTCCAGTGTCAGCATCTCGAATGTCAGCTCCTCCCTGCAAAGCCAACCCAGCCCCATTGACCCAATGGGGCCAAAAACAGGAGAGAAGAAAGGGATGCACCGAGAGATCACAGAGGGGTGGAGTTGTGTGATGTCAAGCAACATCCAGAGGCTGGGGACGCAGCCTGAACCCTCGGCCAGACTCACTTTTCCTTCTGCAGGCTCTCGATCTGCTCAGTCAGCACCTTCTCCTCCTGCTGCATGGCCACCTGCTGCTGCTCTGTCACCTCCATCTCCATGGCCTCCTCGCTGCTCATGGTGTCCTCAGGGATGTCGGTCATGGAGGGCAGGCGCCCGGTGACAGGGGATGCGGGGCTGGGGAAGGCGCCGCGCCGCACGCGTCCTTTGCCCTGAAGAGAGACAACGGTGTCACCACCAGCAGCCAAGGTGATGTGGCAAACACTCAGGTACCGACCATACTGCTCTCCCAAGGAGTGAAGAAGAAGGCCCAGGTATCGGTCCTCAGTGTGCCGCCGCCGGATGCATCCCGGACCCTCCAAAACCTCAGGCTGGGAGAAGTGCCAGAAGGACTCAACATGTTGGAGGGGCTGGGGATGGAGGCTGTGAGGAAGGCAGTGGTGAGGAAGATGCTGATGAACCAAGTGCAACTTGGTCCAGGTCCAAGCAAGCCCCGCTGGCAGCAGGATGGATTCCCACAAAGCCCACAGCCTGTGTGATGGGAAGCTTGATGGTGGCTTTGAGTGGGAGCATCATCGAGGCTTTGATTTCAGGGAACCCAGTTCTCGTTTTATCCTTGGATCAAGTCTCACATCCTTCCCTCATCCACCCCTGGTATTTCCTGAGCATCACAAGGGTCTCACTGACCCCTTCAGCAAACATGAACTCCCAGCTAATGACGTTGTCCATGCCCTGCCATGTCTCATGTACAGGAGATCCAGAAACCAGGACCACCTCCAGTGGTCCACTGTAAGACAATCAATGTGGATCTCCATGCCCACAGCTGAACTCGCTCTGATCTAATGCAGCTCTGAAGAACTATCTCATTTTTTTAATACTGAAACTGAAAATGGAAAAGGATGCATGTGGTGGTACAGGTGGAGAGATATACATGCAAGTTTTTTAACCTTCTGAAGACCAGCTCTACAGATCTGCTCCATGGAGCAGAAGAAAAGGGATTCTTGGAGATGAGGGACATGGCAGAGATTAAACAGCTTTTATCTTAACCGTTATCATGACCAGACATCTCGTCTACATCCCAGATCCTCACATGACTAGAACTAGGAGATGTCCATCACTTGCTGCCCTCCCTTGACGACCATCACCCAGGAAGAATGTTCATCTCCTTGGGGTTGAAGACCTTGTTGCAGCTCAGTTTTGCTCCTCCTATTCAACCCCTGCAACTGTAGCATTCCTGGGTCTTCCTGACAACCCAGGTGCCCAGAGCAGATTTTCAGGATAAAGGATCCTTCCTCTTTTCCTTCAAAAGCCAGATTTCCTCCATTTTAGGCCTTTCATCTTTTAATGCCACATCTCAGAGATCCCTCTTTGTCAGCAAAGCCTCTGCTGTGCCTGGTGTTCTTCTGGATGACACTTTTCACGTGGGCTGCTGAGCTGAAGCACAGCTCCCTGAATCCTATTAGCCAAGAGCCCCAAAATCCCAAAGATTCCACTGGCTTGTGGACTTAAGCCCCTGAGAAATTCCACGCTCAGGTGAGCAGAGCTCAAATTTTGCTCTTCTCCACCTCCTGACACTCATGGATGTGGAAGAATGGGGGGAACCTGAGGGAACTTTCAACATGGGCTGAGCATATTAGGAAAGGAAACAGCCTTATCAGCATTCCCAAATTCCTGCAGGTGCTTTTCTTGCCTGTCAGGATCTCCCAGAACTCAAATTCAAGCTGGGATGGAGTTGGGGAATACAGGGCTTGCTGGTCTCTTCCTCATTCAAACCTGGGTGTCCTGAGCTTGTATTCAGGGTGGTGGTGCTCCTCCTCCAAGGAGAAGGAGACCTTCGGATGCCTTGTGATCTCCAAGGCATCCAAGCTGAGGGTTTTATTCACCATCTTCAGAAACAGCAGCGCTGTGAAAGCAACTTGATGCTGAAATGCATCCTGAGCGAGAAGAAATTGAGGTAGGAAGGGAAGGGATGAGTCAAGCAAAGTAAAAAAGAGGGAAGCACAGGATGGAAAAAGGAAATAAAATAGAAAATTAAAGTAAGTAGGAAGAGAAAAGGGCTGGGAAGCGTATTTCTGAGGAGCTGCGTGCAGGGATGGCCGAGCGCCAGCCCCAAACTCCTGTGCCCTGCTGGAGGAACGGCGGCTCCGAGGGGGAGCGGCGGGACCGGGCAGGTCACAGACAATGGCCGGTGGGACAGAGCTGGAATGAGCGACGGTGACACACAACGAGGGACGCGGCAGCTGCCGTTGATACATACCGGGATTGAACTGCGGGTTATGCTCATAAATCTAACTGCAATTAGTACGGGCTTCTGGATTAGAGAGGAGATGAAAAGGAAAGCAGAAGGTTAGAGTGCACATGCCGCCGCCCCTCCAAAAACCCGCTTTGCTTAGTGTGAGGTTTTTTCTGTTAACTGAGATGAGTGGGGCAGCTCTGCAACACTAGCTCCACAATCTTGGGCAGCCCCTGCTTGGATTTCATCCTCAAAAAGCAGCAGCAATGTGCTCCTGAGGATCACAGGGGGCAGGTCCAAGCAGAGGGGCAGCTCAGCTCCTCAGCCCAAGCCTGTGCTGTGCCAGGTCCATCCCTCTCCCGCAGCCCAACAAGCCAAGCACAGGGGCATCTGCAGCCTGCCAGCCCCCTGCAAGCATGGAAGCTCAATGAGATGGGTTTGAGGCTCCCAAAAAGGCAGTGCGGGAGCAGGGAGAGCCTTTGGGGAGCTCATTTTGGGTTCAGATAATGTGACTGAGCACAAAAAACAATGGTCCAGGTCACCCATGGGGTGATGTTGAGCTGGTCACTGAAAGGCTTGACTCAACTCAGGACCAAACAAGCTCAAATGAAGGTGGACATGCTGATCAGGAACATCTGAGCAGGAGTGACAACATTTCCATGGACTGTTCCCACCTCCTTGTGCTTAGGTATGACTCCCTGAGGAGTCACCATGGAGCTGAGGGTCCCTGTCTTGGTGGAGATGGTGTGGGAGTTTGCAAGAGGTTTGGGAGGCTGGGATAAGCAGGAGAAGATAAGGTGGGGTGGCTTCAGGGGCAAGGAGAAGACAGGAGGGGACAAAGAGGGCTTTGGCATCTCACCATAGATCGGCGGATCAAGGAGAGGCGGCTCTTGGCTTTGTTCTCTGCGAACTCCAGGCTGTTGATGTCCTTGAGACGAGCCTTGTACTTGTTCATCTGCTCGATGACAATTAATTCCACGCAACTAAGGGAGAAAAAAACCCAAAAGACGACAAAATGGGAGGAGGAAGCTGCTCTGTCTTGTCTTGGCTTGTCCTTCAACAGAATCTCCTGGTAGCTTCTCCCTCAGTTCCAGTGCATCTTCACATTTTATTACAAGGAAAAGTTTAATTTGGAGATCTGCCCTGATGAAAGAACATAGAGGAGAAAGCTCCAGCTGGATGCCAGAGGGTGGTGAGAATTCTCCTAAAAAGAGTGATCATGGGCTAGGGATGGACTGAGGAACTAAAGATCACCAAGGATCCCACCATTTAGAGGAATCCACCCCCCAGGGAAAAGGGAGTAGTGGAATACAAACTTGGAGAAGGCAGGCTAATTCCAGCTCACACAGTAACTGTGCAGCAGCTTGTGTAACTGAGCCAACTGTTTAATGTTGTCAGGAGGGTGTTAGGGGAAAATAATATTCCTTTCCTTGTAACAAAATGAGAGGATGTGCTGGAGCTGAAGAGTGAGTAGCTACAATGAAATCCTGTTAAAGGACAGGTGTTCCTGCCAGCTGGGTCTCCAAAAATGTCCTGGTCTTCGACAATTTTAATACTTACTGGAGGTAAAATCACCTCTTTCAGAAACCCAGCCCTTCACTGGAGGGTTTTCATTATTATAATTGACTCCAGTATCTATTTTAAAACCTATTTAGTAAGAGCCAAACTGAATCTGGGCTAGTGCTTCACTTTTTTTCTGTTAAACCTTTTTCAATTATGACAAACACCATAAATAAATCTAAGTACTGTCATATTACTCTTGCTGCGGACCAAACAACACACCTCCTTCAGTAAAAAAGCCAAAATCAAGTAAGAATCAAGACCTGCTTGCCAAAAATGAACTACATTAACTATAAACCATGTCAGCACTAGCTCCACCTTTTCCTGCCAGGCAGGAACAGAAGCTTATCCACTCTTGGGGATCCTCCATCACTTAAAAATCCTCATTTAACAACCTCTTGGGGATCGAGAGAATTTGAAATATCTTAACGCAGATGCATTTATTTGCATTTAGATGAATAAATGACTATGTGTTTATCACTTCATGCCAAAGCTCTCCATTTATGAGCCATTTAACCATCTTAGGTTTTAGCAAGATGTGAACAGTGATGTGGTGGAGCTGGCTCACCCAGCCCCAGGCTCTTACGTGGTGGTTTTGCTGATGTCCTGAACGCTCTGTAGTGGGTCTGTTGTGTCGGGGCAGCGGAGGATGCAGGGAGCAAACACAATGGCCAAGGCGTTAGCTGACATGCGGTTGGTCTCTTCTTGGAGGGCAATCCTGAAAAAATAGGGATTAAGAGAGAAGTCAGAGGTGGAGGCACCTCCACTGCACCTCTTGCACATGGTCATGGATGAAGAGAGGAGATATGTCTATGGTGCAATCTTGCTTTGAGGGAGAAAGACAAACCTCAAGACATCTTAGATATTCCCAAGGCAACAACCAGCCCTTTCCACCCAAAAACCTGTCCCTGCAGTAGTGAGCGGCACCACAGAGCTGTAGGAACCACAAGTGTCCAGAGCACAGCAGAGGCCATTCATCAACACATCTCCTGGAGAAACAGCACCATGGCCACCTCCTGGGAGACACGGCAGATGCAAAAGGCTCAACTATTCTGGTGGGAAGGATGCCTGACCATCCTGCCTCTGCCTAAAGCTGCCCAGGCTCAGCATACCTGACCAGGTGGAAGATGAGGCGCTCCAGGGTGTTGAGGTGGGTGCGGGAGAGCTGGTCGATGACTGAGTACACCCCACGCACTGTCTCCTTCCTCTCCTGGAGGCCTGTGGAGAAACCACCAGTGTTTAGGGGCAGCTTCCACTTCTTCATCCTATTTAAAATGGTACCTCTTAATTTTACTACTTAAAAGATGGAATTTTGGGGCTGAAATTAGCTGAACCATGATGCAAAAGCTGCCAAATTAAGACCAAATTGCCTGAGGTTTTGCATAAAAAACCCCTTTATAGCCAAAAAATCAGACTTTGAAGCCAGGTAAATACCATTTGGCAAAACCAGCTGGTTAGGCCTCAAAGAAAAGTTTGGCACTGAAAGTGGCCACTATCTCCCTCCACCAGGGGAATGGGATAATGAGGGAAGCTCCTCACCCATCACCCGCAGGAACTCCTCGTAGAGCTCAAAGGTCATGAGGGGGTTGGGCAGATCTCGGAGCCACTGCTTGAACACGCTGGCAATGACGTGGATGTTGTAGTCATCTAAATTCACGTTATCAATGTCTGAGTTCGGCACCAGATGAAGCAAGAAGGAAAAGAATGAGAGACGATGATCAATGAGAAGCCCAAGGCTGGACAAGGTGACCTTTAAAGGTCCCTTCCGACCCACACTGTTCTATCATAAAGTACTCTAAAATAAAAAATGTTTACATGCCTTTAATGACAAAAAATTCAGCACCAGATTTCAGCTCCACACGGTAAAATTAGAGAGAAATACATTTTTCAGGGCAAATAACTTCAGGTGGGACCAGGATTTTTTTTCTCACTGATTGCTAGGGTGTAAGTAAGGCAGCACTTTCCCTCAATTAGAATAACTTTTTTTCTGTAGATTGTTCCCAAAAAAACATGAGTTGATGACCTGAGTTATGGCTGCTAATGTGAAATAATTCCTTGCACAGCCCAGAGTCAGGAATGCTGAAGAATTCCACCTTCCTCCCATCCAACTTTGCTGCTGCAGATATTTTCCTCCCCGTCCAGGATCCTTTCCCCCCTCCTCTTACCTGTATCAAGGCCTTGCCGCAGCTCCTTGATCTTGTTGGTGGATCCTGATTTCCTGTAGATGCCCTCTGTGTACAGCCCATGCATTTCGATGTAGTTGATGAGTTTCTCCACCAGCAGTGGCACCGCCCGTTCCTCACTGGTCAGCCGGGACAGCTCCACGCCGAACTGCCGCGGTGACAGCTCAGGGTCGTGCTGCACAGGAAAAGGGAAAAAGGGATTAAAATCCTTCTGTGATGCAATGCTGGGGCAGCTTTGGATCCGATTATTCAGAGTCCTTCTGAACTGAGCTGATCCAGGAGATGTGTGAGTCTAAGGAAGGACAGGACAGGACACAGACTTTGCAATGCTAACCCGGTCTCTGGACATGCACCTGAAGGCAAAAAGTTTGGATTTTCTTTCTTTAACTACTACCCCACTGTACTATATTCCCAGCCTGACTGAGCCAACACATCTGGGCATGGTCCTCCTCTACCTCCTGTGCCTCTGGCACCATCTCCAAGGATGATTTCACCTCCCAAAGATGCACAAAGCAGAATAGACAAATCTGAATCTTGGGTGCTTAGACCAACTCGAAGCATTGACAGTTACCAAATACCAGTGAACAAACAAGACACCAAAAAAAGAACTTGAAAAGACCCATCTACACCTGTCAGGAAGGACCCTTCTGCCAGCTGCAAACACTCACTGGAGAGTTGGTACATTCTGGTACATTCAAATGTGAAGAAAGTCCTCCTGCACAGGAGATACTGGATGGGAAAAGTCAAAAGATCCACTAAAATAATGCCCCAAATTCTCATCCCTAGCCAAAGACAGGTGAGACATAACTCCACCATCAGCAAGGCAGTGCCTCCCTTTACAATCCTGCTTTTTTCTTCTTCCCACTCAATGTCATTCTTTCATTGATCCTGCAAACCTTAGGAGCAGATGTGTGGAAGGTTCCTGTGTTGTTTCTTTCTCATGACTGATGGTTTGTAGCTCCCTGTCACTGAGAATAACCCTAAAAACACAAATTCACCATGCACAGAGAAACTGGAGCCTTCCTAGAGAACTTCTAACTGCCCAGTGCAAAGCTGCTCATGAAGACATAGTGAACTTGCTTCCTTGGGTGCAGCACAAAACCTTCCTTGTGCAGAGAAATCACAGTAAAGAAGGTGGCTCCAAGAATATTCTAAAAAATTAATCAGTGATCTCAATGAACTTCACAGATTTTAGAGAACAAACTCTTATGAGGCATTCCCAGCTCTTGCAGAGATAGTGCCAGAAAGGGAAAGAGTGCAGCAAAAATTCTATATATATTCAAAATACAAATATAGTCATACACACACACATCTTCAATGTATATTTTCAGATTATTCTTTGGGAATAATGGACTCATGCAGCCTTTTGGGGGCTGTGTAGTGTGGAGGTTGTTCTCCCCTGAGAAGACTCCCAGGGAGCTGATGAAACTTTCCACTCATTATAATCCTGACTCTATTTCCTTCTTTTGGGCAGAAAATAAGCTATTTAAAAAAAAACCCACTGAATCTTGATGCTTGATTGTTAGATGGGATAACCTGCTCCATTCATTCCCTGTTCCTTATACCCTTAAATCCAGTAAACAATATTCAATTCCCCTCTAAAGAGGGCAGTGAACATCTTCCACCTGCCCTTCCTGGCACAGCAGGCAAAGGCTGTCAGTGTGAGAAAAAGTCTGTATTTCCAAGAATAACCCCACATTTCCAAATCATTAAAACTACAAAGCTAGGGAAATTCCTATTATTCCGTGCGGTTATAAGGCAGGGAGTGACACTGCAACATCTGCTGCATGACTGGGCAGATCTACAGTGACTCATCACCGCGTAGTTCCCAAAATATCTACAAAACTGTGGCTGGAGAGACCTCTGGGGATCTCTGTCTAAGCTCCTGCTGAAAGGAGGGTTATTTCCAGCATTCTATCCAGCTTTGCACCTCCAATAATTTTTATACAAACTTGGGATCTTTGTCTCAAGGCATTTAATGAAAGCAAAGCAATGAGAGACATTTACCTTTTTGGAGCACTTGGTTGTGGTTTTAAGACAGCACTTCTTGTGACAAGCATATTTACATACTGCAATGGAGAAAAGGAGTGTTTAATTATCCCAAAAGTCCCATTACTGGAGAAACAGTAATTCATATGAATTGAGTAGCACTTCTCAGAACTACCAAGTCAAAAGCATGTTGGATTTGCAGTTTCCAGGGGCCAAGTCTGCATTAGATCCACTCAAATAAATATAATGAAGCCTTTAAAATGGAAGGTGCCATAGGTACATCTGTGAAACATTAAAACCTCCCCCAACCCCAAGAGATCAACTCAGATTATAATCCATGAGTTGCTCTGAGCTATTGGACACAGATACACCCTGAGACTGGAAATGGCACCTCCTCTGTGTTCTTGCACTGAAATGCTCTGGGGCTGATGCTGTCAACTGAATCACAGAAATGGAGGAGGGATGATGGAAAAGGTTGATCCATCTCTTGAGATTTTCCAAAAAGAGATGGATCAGGCTTTTCCATCATCCTCCCTCCTCCGTTTTCCTGATCTCCTCAAAAATTCACATGCCTGCAGGTCAAACAGGCGAAGCCAATGGGTTTGCCAAGTCAGGATCCCCACATGCATCCTTGGGATACATTTCATACCTGACTTTACCATCCTTCCTACCATGACAGATAAATGGGATGGCCACACAACCTGATGGGGTAAGATGTGGAACACCAAGTTCATTAACTGTGCCAGGAAGGACTGCTAGGATGGACTTATTAGTTGACTTCAGAAAACTTAAGACCTGTTCCTAAAGCTCTTCAGGTGTTACAAAAATCAAAATTATTTGAGCATGGGGTTGGAGGAAACAGCAGTAAACACATTTCAAAATCCCCAAACTCGTCACTGTGACAGAAGCACAAGAAAAGGATCTAAGAAAGGGTGGGTGCTTACATTTACAAACAGAAGCTCTGTCCATGATCCAGATCAAGGAGGAACAATATTCACAGTATGTGGGGATGCTGTATTGGGTCGCCTTGAAAATGTGACCATTGTGCTCTTCCACCTGGAGGAAAAAGTTTGGGTGGTGAGAAAAGGGAGCTAGTGTTCAGCCTGCTGCAAAATGGAAAGATGGAAACAGTCAGCTCCTCAACTTCAGTTCTTGTTTTCATTTGGTATTTCTGTTTCTTTTTGAGCCCAGCAACCCCATAGACAACCCAAACCAACATCCATCTTGTAGGAGGTGGTCATCATGGAAGCAGGTTGGAAACTCTTTCACTGAGCTTGGCAGGTCAACTTCTTCATGTTAAGCAGATCTTCTATGCATCTGTGGCCCCTTTTTCTGGCTCTGCACCTGCACCCTTCCTAGTACCATCATATCCCTTAGGAAAATGGGAGATGTAATGTCCTCCATGTCTGATTCTGGAGATGTAAAACACACACTATAAACTTCTGCAGAAAGCTGGAGCAAGAGCAAAACTTTATTTTGCTCTCAGCCTAACAACCATGGACATTACATCTATGTCTTGGCTGATGAGGGACGTGTTTTCAGAGCCAACCCAAGTGATCCTTGATCACGCAGAGCAAATCCACCTTAAACGTTTTTTTCACACATCCTTTCAGGGTTGATGTTCAGATCTCAGCCCAGGATGTGTCAAGCTGGTCTCTTGACGTTCTGGCCCCAAGGACATTGATTTTTTTAATGTGCAGGCTTAACTCACCACATCTGCTTCCTTTTTCCTTCTCTTCTTTCGTTCTGTTTTTGGCACCTGGTGAGGGAAAGAGATCCAACTCAATTTTTGGGCAATTCTGTCAGGTAAAGATACAGAGGGCTCATATCTAACATTGTCCAGTGCCTTCCAGCCCCATCCTCCAGTGCACCTGCAGCCTCAGAAGAGTCACTCTAGAAAACTCTCCCATGGATCATTCCAGTTTTGGTATTTCCCTGGACAGCTCCTCCTATCTTCATCTTGGAGCTGGGAATAGCTGCTGCTCCAGCTCTGACCCCACCAGCAGTGACCAACAAGGAACATGATGCTCAGCCTGCTCTGAAGAAAACCTGCCTGCAGAGGAGGCTGGAGAGGACTTGGAGCAGAAGAGCCAGGAGATGGGGTATTTGTACAATAGACACCATCTCCCAAGCCCAGCCTCACAGACAATACAGAGCAGGGAGTGAGATCAGGTCTGTGACACAGTGCAGGCTCTTACTGCTCTAAGAACAGTACCCAGACCTGAGCCACTGCCTGCATCCCCTTCTCCTACAACCCAATCCATGGTGGTGTGTATGGTCACCTGGGAAGTGGTCAGGAGACCTGAGAGGGATCTCTTTCATCATCCCTCAAAGTTTGAAAAAACCCCCCAGAACTGAAGAAGCACCAGGAGCTGCCTTTCCAACCATCCACAGTTGGTTGCAGCTTTGCCCGGGAGATAACATCTAATCCTTGGCATTGGCCAAGCCCAGCTCAGCCTGGTGTGATCTGGGCTTGGCTGAGCCCAGTGACACACAACCAGTGAGTCACACCTTGCCTTGTCTGGCTCAGCTCAAAGCAGAGAAGACAACGGAGGGTCCCAGGCATCTACAGAGTCACAACCCCAAAGACAGTTCCCAAACCTTCAAGGGGGGTTACGAAAAGTGCTGAGTACCTTCCCTGCAGTGTAGTCCAGGGGTTTGTACTCTATCATATATTCATCCAGGAAGACTTTGAAGGTATTGACCCAGACTTTAACTGGAGACTCACTCCAGTCCCTCTGCTCAAGCCTCATGGTCTTCTCCAGAATCTGCTCAAATAAGGCGTAGAGGTCCTTGTAGCGGATGCTCTTCCCATCGTCCATCTTGTAAGCAAAAAGAAAAGTGATTTTTATACAGCCCAGATTTTTCTGGAGACTTTTTCTTCTCCAGACAATTACTTCAGCCACACTGGCTTCCAGCTGCTTGAGGAAAGTCCAAGTACGATAAAGAGAAGGAAAAAAGAATCAGACATCACAACTAGCAAAGGTAACAAAGGTTTCCAGGCACTTTGAGTGACAAATTGGAGTTGATGGACTTTCTGTCATCTCCTCTTTGGTTGGGAGAAAAGCTGCAATGAGGATCAGAAATCATCACCAAGTATATGCTGAGCTGGCTCATGAGGAAGAGTTAGTCCAAATTCAGATCATGGGACTGAATACAAAGGAAGCACATCCATCCTTTGGGATAAGCAAACCAGAAATGGAGGGCTTGGCAACACCTGAACCAGCAGGAGGACCCAGAATATCCTGTTTCTCCTGGAGGTGGAAGTCTCACCCATCATCTGATCACTTACCGCCAATGCCGAGGAGTAAAAACTGAAGATGTTTTGTCGGAATTCCTTCAGTGCTTTCTTGAACACGACATCCACCAGCGTGTCCTTCTTGCTATCCTCGTTGTCGAGCTCATTCATCTGGGAAAACAAGGAGGTTTTTGCACCCATGTCTCTTTTGCTGCAGCAGAGCTAATGTGAGATGAAGCAGCACTGAGAAGCAGCTGCTCCACCATGATCACCCGGTGGCTTCTTCTGCATGAGAACCAGAAACTTCTCTAGACCTGCCCTGGAACCCTTAGGTGAATTATTAGCATTACTACAGCTACCCACAGGATCATTTTTACTTTGTTGCCTCTGTCTGCTCCTGGATCTCTGTGCTGATTTATGGAGCAGTGAGGACAGGAGTTACCTTTTTCAGGAGAAACTCATCCATGCTCTTCAGGTCGCTGGCACTGGTTATGATCTGCAGGGAGTCGTTCTGCCACTGCACGGGCTCCAGAGCCACGTTGCTGATCTTGACGCTGCGCTTACGCTTCACTTTGGGAGAGGGCTCCTTGTTCTCCTTGAATTCCCGCCGGTAGATGCCCGATAGCTCAGGACTCCGTGGGGGTGTCAGGTGATGAGGACCCAACTCTGCTGGTGATAAACAAAAAGAGGGAAGGAGATTGAGGACCAGACAAAAAATAATTGTGACACTAAAACTGGGAGGCGGGCATTAGAATAAACCTGTGGAGGAGAGAAGCACAGTGTAGAACTCACAGGAAGATTGAATGTCATTTCTGCTTTGGTTATCTCCTCCCTCAAGGGAGGAAACATCTGTCCATGTCCAGATGGTGGCTAGAAGGACTAGTGACATGGAATTCCTTGAGATCTGTTATGGATTCCACCCCTAACCTACTTGCCATCGTTCTGGGTTGACATCATCCACGAATGAAGAGACATGAACCAGCAAGGACATATCCCAATTTCCCAACCCAGCTTCTCCCTCCTTACAACTGGTCCTGTGTCCCCCCACCACGTACCTTCACCAAGCTGCAAGCCAGGAACGGCCTCCCTGCCAGGGGCTTCCTGCTCTGCGTACAGCTCCAGCAGCTCAGACTGGGTAGCGAGCTTCTCCCGGGGGGTCTTCTTCTCCCCCTGCTTTCCCTTCACCCAAAACCTCATCTTAGCTCGTTGAGGCCTGGAAGTAAGTCACGGAAAGAGGAACTGCCTTAACTAGGAAAGGTCTTTCTACCCAAAACTACCTCCGTCTTCTGGACCTTCCTGAGGAGATAAATCCACACAATTTCTACCAGGGAAATGTGGCTTCTCATTCAAACATCAGTTTCATGCACAGGATTCAGTGTTTTGGGATGGAACATGTGGTCCATGTCACCAAAACTTGTGGTGCAAGCCAGACCTGACTGGGCCTGTCCATGGTCATGCAGAAAAGGTGGGATGGGTAACTCATGATGCAGGGGGAGCCTGGGTGGCTCAACAGGGTGTTGGAGAGCAAGAGGGACACAGGAAGGACTTGTCTGTCATCTCCAGCCACAATTCCTACCTCCCATCCAGAGTCAGATTCTTCTGTGTGGCTGCTAGCTTTCCAATCTCCCCTTGAGACATGGTTTTGTGCAGTTTGGCCTGGCCTTCCCCAGAGGTGAATCGCTGCACGGTCTGTAATGATTTGGAATCGTTGCATGAAACATTTAAAAATAAGACAGCCCTTGGAGTATCAGATGTTTGGTTTTTTTTCCTACCAAAGATCAGCTATTTAATCTCCTACATCTTTATTTCTATTTGCCTACAGGTGAAAACCCACTGTCCTGGTAAGCCCCATGAGAAATATTTTAATGACTCCTAATAAAGAGAGGCATTTCATTGCTCCAACTCTCCAATCAGGTCCAACCTTCTTCTTCCTTCAGCAATTGGTGATGAAAATCAGTTTGCATCAAGCCACGGGTCCTTATAGCTCAGCCTGCACAGCTCTTCCACCATTTTCATCCAGGCATTCCAACTCTCCACCCAGTGTCCCATTAGCCACAATGAAGTGACTCCCCAAGGGAACCTTCAACCACCTGGATCTGTCCCAGCAGAAGTTCCTCCTCCAGCTCTTGCTGAGTACTTTACAGAAATAAAGACCCAAGTCTTTATGCCAAGGACACACCAAAAGGAACCCTTTAACAAAGAAATTTTTCAGCTTTAATATCTCCACCTTTGCCACCATTTAAAATGTCCTTGGATCATTTTTAAGGGTGGGATGAATTTGCAGTAATTCAACCTAACAGGATCCCATGAAGTAGCCCAGAAATGGACTTACCATATTTTTAAAATATCTAAATTTTTGTTCTATTTCCAATTGCAGCTGTGATTTGGGAGCTGGACTCCTGGAGGAGAAACTTTCAGCATGAGGAAAGTGAAGAATCAGTTGTATGAAAGGATTTGGGAGATGATGGTCAAATATCTCCTTGGAGTTTTCCTATCATCTCAATGTCTCAGCTGAATGCTCTATATTTTAAATAAATTATTTTAATTCTGTTAAAAATATTTAAATAAAATTCTATATCAAGTAGGCTACAGGAAGGTCACATGTGCCATATTTACACTTTTTCCATGTTTTATTCCCTTCCCCCCACCCTGGACTAACATCTCTTCCAGCCAGGAGATGGCAGCATGCAAGGCAAAATCATCACTGGGAACGTCAGGAACTGCTGAAACCATGAAAGAGACTTTGTTCCTTTCATTCTTACATCTAGGTGATGATCACATAGAAACTGTGGATGGATACTGGGAAAAAAGCCATTAAGAACTTAAAAAAGTTATCTCCATCCAGCCCAAACCTACTACTTGTTCTAAAAATTATCTGTTAAATATTTGCCCACACAATATGGTTTTGTTCTTGAATAATTTCAAGTAATTTTTGAGTTTCCAGCTTTAGTAAATAAAGACTAAAAGGCATTTTTGGCACAATATCCTTCTGTTTGAGGTTCTCTGCCAGGAAACTCTGAAGGGAAAGGATGGGAAACCTCCTCAGATGTCAAGATGAGCATCTGCACCAGAAAATCCCCTGCTAGGGAACACCACAAAGCATTGTGAAGGCAAATGGCAATAACTGGGGTCCTGAAGTTGTCTCCTGGATGAGGAAGGTACCCCAAGTATTCTTCCTCTGACAGAGTAACCTGTGTTTCCCATAAGGTAACTATGGCCAAGGGACTTATCCCAGCAGGCAGCTGTGTGCAGCTGTGTGCTGCATGGAAAAATTTCCTAAAGATCCCTCTGAATGTGTTAGGACAAGAGATCTTTCATTGCTCACTCTTCAGCTGTACTTGGGATCAGCTGGTAGAAGGTACTTGGACCCACGTTTGTCAATTCATGGCTTTAGTGTGGAGGGTGGAGCAAAGCAACTGGTTCATTATCCAGGTCCCACTCTCTAAGGATGTTTCCAGAGGGTATTTCTGGTGTGATTCCTCTAGGCAAGGCTTTCCATTTATGCAGCTGCTATAGGAAAGCTCTCCAGGCTTAGGTGCCAAACAAAAGTGGTGTTAACACGTGCTGACAGGAACAGCCAGGAGCTGTTCCTTCCACTTGTGTCTCACTTCAAGGTAGGTTAATCCTTGGCTATTCACCAGCCAAAAAACTTGAATCTTGGTCTTGTCAGGAAGCCCTTAATCCTTAAAGAACCTCAGAGTCAACTGTATCTGCAGCAGCCATTTCATGCAGTGGTGCCCCATGGGTTCCAGCTCTGGCTGCAGATGCTCTGGGTGTTTGATGCTCTGGGATACCCTGAACATGGGCCAGGAGCATTGGATTCCAGTGGGCCTCTACTCACCAGCTGGGGTACACGACCAGTGACTTGATGGCCAAGAAAAAAATGGGCAAAGCAGGCAGTGCAGCTGGTGACCCATCATGTGCTGGGCTCCATGGGGCTGCACGTGATCTCTCGTTCATGCAGCCAGCAGCCTCGGCTGCTGAGCAGGACATGGCAAGAGGCTGTTTTGGGAAGTCATAGCTGGAGGCAGGAGCTGTATGAAGGAGCTATTCACTGGCATGGGAACCAGCCTGCACATGGTGGCTGCCAGACACCTCCATGTGACTCTCACGAGACACAATCAAGTGTCTGCACAGACATCAACTTCTGTATCTTTGTGTTGGGACCCAAAACACCCTAAGAGGCACCATTCCAGCTTTATCACAGGCTGCTCTGCCATCTGCAACACCCAAATGAGCTCTGCTAATAAATACGAAATAAACAGTCCCTAAATTTTGCTATTTGTGATGATCCTGACCTCAAAAAAGCCCTAAGCCAAAGGGCTGGTCCCAAACCTGCAATACAAAATACAGATGGAAACACTGGACACATTGTCAGGACACACAGACGGAGGGCAGCGCGGAGCACACGGCATCAGGGGTAATGTTGCCCTAGAAAGCAGAACTTAAAACACCAGGGGTGAAAGTCCTGACCACCAGTTAGAACCAGTGCTGGAGAGCAGAGAAGAGGGACACAGCAGAGACAGGAGAGAGGTGACACCTACTGCTACTCGCATGCAGTGAGAGCTGTTAAACCAGGTGAGCAGAGTCCCAAGGAGCACTTCCAAGGAGTACAGCGATCCAGGATGCTCCCAAAGGTGGAGCTTGCCAAGCAGCAGCATGGCACTTTTCACAGCCCAGAGGGAATGATTCCTACAGCTACCATTCCCTCTGTAGGTGGGCAGCCTGCAGGAGCATAGCAAGGCACTCCAGGGGCCTTGGTTTGGTGATGAACAAGGTGGTGCTGGATTTGTGACTCAACAATCTTAGAGATCTTTTCCAACCTAAATGTTCCTATGATTCAATGTAAAAAAAGTACATTTTACTACATAAAATTCTCCCTTTCCCAATCCTCAAGCAAGGACTTGCATAGAGAAGCAGCCAGGTTATCTCAGTCCATAGAGATGTGTCTTTCAATCAGGTTTTGAGTATTCCTGTCTCAACCCCCAGCAAGTTTATCAAGAGCAGGCTTAAAAAAATTTATGGAATTTGTAAATATTTGCCCTCTTCCAGTGAGGAAATTATCCTGGGAAAAATTATCCTTTATAATAAGAGCTGCTAAAAGAGAAGTCATGAAAAGCCCTCCTTGGCCACCTGCTTTTCTTGGAAAAGGAGCTTTCAGGATCACAAGGGATGTTTTCTGAACCCACAGCAATGCTGTGGCACAAAATAAATATCTGGCTTTGGGTTTCATGCTTTTCTTTGGTTTTATACTCAGCTCCACATCTTGTACTGCAGCTGGAGGAGAGGAACATGGCAGCCCTACCCAGCACTCCACCCAAACTCTCACAGCACTACATGATTCCTGGTGTTTATTCATACTCCTACGGGGACATCTCCACCACCTCAGGAAAAAAAATATGAGCAGGTTGGAATCTGTTGGCCTCTTCCACTCCTGAAACCTCTCGGTTTGTGATTTTCCAAAAGCAGCTTATGTGGGTGGGAGATTAAGCCTGAGATGCAAAAGCTCCACTGTGCTGGCTCATGTCAGACCTGCTAAGGGATACTTGTCACTGTGCTTGGAAAAAAACACTTTAGGTTGGTTGTCTTTGTTTTAAACCCACTATTTTGCTCTCACTACATTTTTACTGCCCAGTTTCCATGGTTTTTCTTTCTCTGAGCTGTGGTCTGTCAGCATTCTGATAACTGACGATCAAATAATCATTGGATATTCTGGCTAAGGATAAAAAAATCAAAAGTAAAAGAAGGTGTAGGATTTATGTAATTTTGTTGTCTGTTGTTTTTTGGACAATATTTACTTTCATTTTCTTTACAGATGTATATAGATTTTTTTTAGGTCAAAAGTTTCCAAGGGGAGGATTGAGGTTAAAGCCCCCCAAAATAGGTAATTGTGCAGTACAAGTTGTAATGATCCAGGAAAACTATGGAAAGTGTGGTGGGTATCTAATCAACCCAGGAGCAAGAAATAGAGTTTGGATGGAGCTCTGAGCACCTTGGTCTAGTGGAAGGTGTCCCTGCCCATGGCAGGGATTTGGAATTGAGATTTGAAGTCCTTTCCAATCCAAACCATTCTGTGATTCTGCGATTCTGTGACTTTGCCTCAGTTTCTGCTGTGTTTTCCAAATTCACCCCTCTACAGCATCCTTGGGAGTGGGGAGAAGAAGCAGTGGAGGGGGGATGAGCGCAGCTAAGGTTAGCAAAGAAAGGCTCCCGCAGCTCCGCAATTACCATTTCGGAGTCACTGTAACAGGCCTGCCCCAGGCGGGCTGCGGGCACTGCCTCGGCGTGAGGAGGGTGCTCAGAGGAGAGAAGGAACTCAAAACTGCCATCGTAATCCTCTTCCTCCGTATCCCCCTCCCCATCAGCAAAAGTACCTCTAGTCAAGAAATCGGAGCGCGTCCGCGCCATGCGGGCTTTCTTTTTATGGCTCGGTCTGGGCACCTGCTTGACCAAAGGATAAAACAAAACAAAACGAAAAGAAGGGTTTTAAAGTAAAAAGGAGACTTTACCCGTGTAGCCTAAAGACGTCTCTGAGTGCCACTGCACCCCATGGAGGGGATGCAGTATTGTGTCTGGTGAAAACAGCAAAGGACCAGGAAGAACAAAAACTAAGACAAGACGGTGAAAATGGACAACCATGGGTGTTACTCAAACGGACATTAAACCAAACCAAGACAAGACAGCGTTGGACAGTGTTTGCCATCAGGATCATGGGATCCTTTTATCCAGAACTGTTACAAATTATTCCTACAGTCTTTTTACTTTAAAAGAAGGTGTGGAGGTTACTGTGCTGTCATATCCCCCCTCCCTACCCATGTCTAGCAGCCCTTGTGCTTCAGAGTTCACTTCTTTGAAGCTTTTTAGGGAAAACTGGTAAAATAAGTTATTTTCCTCCCCCTTTCCAACAGAAAGAAAAAATAAACAAGTCACAACTCACCTCGCCTCTGCCAGACCCCAGCATCTTAAACGGCTTCCGTGCTAGTTCACCCTTGGAAAGGCACTGATGATTTGCCTCTCTGCTGAAACACAACAGAACAGAGATCTTTCATCTTCTCCCAAAAGTCTTCCTACCACACTAGCCTAGCTCCTGGGAGCACACAGTCCAAGCAGTCAAGACTAAATTGCAAGTCAGAGGTCATGGGGTTTCGGAATTGCTTGGAATTCTTCAGGATTGGACTTAATACAAGACAAGAAGAGAAAACATTCTGCCTGTCAACTTTATACAGCAAGGTGGTTACTGATTGTACCTTTGTACTTTGGGTGACTATTCTGTTGCAGAGCAAAAATTAAAATTCTTAATGTCTTTTTCTTCCTGTTCCTTGTTCATGTTGTGCATGAACCAGGAAAATAAATTTCAAACAGAAATTTTCTGTTACAATGGCACAGAAACCACAAGACCACTACACTTGGAGGTACCTTGAGTTACCAGCAGTCATTCACTGGGAGCTGTTGCCTTGGAAAGGGTGCAGCAGGATTTAGGAGGGAGTGATTGAGATCCTTTTTGAGCTACGTGGCCAAAACCACCACAAAATTAGCAAAGCACCTTAAGCAACACAAGAGTGGGAGCAAATGTCCCAAGATCTTGCTGCCATCTCCAGACCCTGGAGCAGCAGCGAGGTTGAGCAACGCGATGGCACTGAGCAACTGCTAAGTCCATTACAGGTGTAATTAATTACATATGTGAATGGTACAGTCTCCAAAGAGCATTCACTCCCAAACTCACTCTGGAGAGCTGGTGTTTTCTCATCTGCAATGGTCAGAGTGTCCACATGGCTTTGCTGGATGTATTAATTATGTGGTAAACAAGGAAAATCCTGGATTTTTTTGCCTCATTGAGTCATTTCTATTCCAACTACCCAAAAATCCTAAGAATTTATTCACTGTGTTTTACCTTGAGAACTAAACCCCCGTTCATGTTGGGTAAATAAAAACAGTATTGAGCCTGTTTATTGACTCTCCTCACCTTCTAATGTCCATGATTATCTCCCCTGGATTATATAAAGTTGTAGGAGACTGAGAAATCATATTCCAGGTCTTTTTCCTTTCCCTCTGACCTCCACCTCCTCATTGCTAGAAGATCAAGAACCCTTTGTTTAACTATGGGGTTTGTGCAGACTCCAGAAACAACATTCTGGACCCTTTGTACAATAAGGTCCTTAGCACAACAAAGGGCCAATGGAGAAAGCCTATGGAGACAGCCTGAGGAGAAAGCCTATGGAGACAGCCTGAGGAGAAAGCCTAGGAGAAAGCCTAGGAGAAAGCCTAGGAGAAAGCCTAGGAGAAAGCCTGCCGTCTCTTTACTCACTGGAGGCCGAAGGGATTGTCTTTTGGCGTGAAGAACATGGAGCTTGCCCTCATCTCCTCAGTGGCCTGGTTGGGCATCCGAGGTTGCCGGAGGCGCTCTGTCCTTGAGAAATGGCTGCCTGGGTGGTCCTTGGGGTCCAGAGCTGGTTTGGAATGGCAGCGGGGTTCCACACCTTCTCTTCGCTCCACAAACATGCTGACAGGTCGGTCTTTGGGGGCACTGTGGGCTGGAGAGCCTCCTCTGGTCCCAACAGTGAGACCCCTGATGTCCACTGCTGAGGTTGGAGCCACGCCTGGGGTGGGGCAGTGCTCCCCTCTGCTCTGGGGGTGTAGGATGAGGACTGACTGAGGCCGGCTGTCTGCTTTTTTGGCTGCTTTGAGGGAAGGCTCCTTCACTCTGCTCTGCTCTGTCCTCTGCAAAGCCTCTACCCTTCCTTGCTGCTCGAAGGCTTTGCGCTGTCTCTCCAGAATTTCCTTCTGCTGACGGATCTGCTCCATCATCTCCCTCTCATTTTGCAGCTGAAGCTGCTTTTGCCTTTCCTCCTTCTCCACGTTGAGCTTTTCCAGTCTTTTGATGACAGAATCTGGAGAAAGGGCCCGTGCTGCTGTCACTGTCCCACGCTCCTCTCTCTTGGAAGAGGGTTTCTCCTCTTCCTCTTCTTCTCCTAAGGCTTTGCCCTGGTCTGGCTCAGAGTCCTTCCCGACCTCGGAGAACATAACTGTCCTTTCCTCTCTTTCCACTGCTTTCTTCCTCAGGTTATTTTCCACCAGCTTCACCTTCACAATGTCTTGTGGTGGAACATAGAAAGTTGGGAGGTTGCTGGAAAGGAGGGCTTCTCTTGGGTGAACCTTTATAGCATCCTGGGGGTCACTGACCCCACGCTCCCTCCTGGTGAGGTTATCGGGCAGCGCCGTGTCTGCTGGGGTCTGTCTGCAGCCAGACAAATCGTTGTCCCCATCCGCTGCACAGAAAGGCTTCTCCTGCAGCTGAGCCTGGGGACTGCTGGGCAGGGAGTCCATGGAAAACGACTGTACATCATGCTTGTCTAAGCTTAAAGAAATGAGTTTACTATTTGAGGTATCTTCACTGCTTAACAACTCGAAGCTCCCTTGAGAGCTCTCACTCTCCGGGGTTCCCTGAGGGGAATGCAATGCCTCAGACACCAACTCGGTGGCCCAGCGCTGCTCTTCCGAAGGTGACAGCCCACCCGTGGAGCGGACCTTGAGCAGCTCCAAACTGAATTTCGCCTGTTCCAGTTCCCGCATCCTTCGGCTTTCCCTCTTTGCACGAACCACTTTTTTCTGGTTGAGATCCTCCAGTGACTTGGGCCTCTCTCTCACGATGATCTCCTCCTCGGTGTCCATCCCGCTCTGGCTGCTGGCTCTCTCGTGCCTTTTGTACAGGGAGGTATTCAGCGGGTCCACGTGATTCACCCGATTATTCTCCATCAGTGATTTACACTGTTCTACAGCTCTCACTCGCTCTTCAAATGAGCTGTCCTCCCACTTAGATGGGTCAGAGCCCTTAATTTCCAAAACATCTGCTTCCAGTCCATCCTCTTCTCTACCTGCCAGGCCATTCTCCAGCTGCATCTCTTTTAATTGCTGCTCTTTCAAAGCTCTAAACCTGGAAGAAAGCAGAAAACCAGGTTATTCAGCCCTGTGACCACTCAGGACCCTTCAAGGCACTGCACTAGTGCTGTCTCATCACCATCACAACCATCACATCACCACCACCAGCATCTCAAGTGATCCTCCTTGCACATCTGGTGCGAGACAAGGCAAGGCACGTTTGGTTTTAAACCTTCTCCTCCTCTGCCATCTCTGGTACCGAAGGGCTGCCCCAACGCACCTGAAAGCTCTCCTCATGCTGATGGCAGTGGGTCCAGCCGTCCCTGGTCTAACTCCTTCATAAGCTGTTGGAGCCAGAAAAGCTTAACCCATCACACCCCCTTGGCTTCTCCATCTTCGCCATCCTTCCTGGACTGCGGCTGGAACAGCTAGCAGGGACTTGTGCCCAGCACCAAGAGCTCTCTGCAGCTCCCAAATGTTCCAAGCGACGTTAAGGTGCTCCCCACCTTGCAGGCAGCAGCTCTGGAGAGTGAATCGTGACCTACCCCCCATCCAGAGAGCCAAGGCATGCTGGAAAGCCTGTGCCCTCCGCAGCGGCTGGCTCCGGTATCCCTTGTCCTTGTGAGCCAGCACAGCAAACACACTGGTGAGGCAATCTGAGTTAAAAATAGGCTACTTAAACTGGTGCTGCTGCCAAGGGGAAAAAAAACCCCTGCGATTATTTACAGCCTTGGCTTTGCACTGCCTACGTGCTCCAACCTGAAATAGGCTCTGCTTATTCCAAGAGCAGGACGTGCAGCTAAATTGTTAGAAAGTGTGGGCAAACAAAGGATCAGGGCAGGTGGGGAGAGGGTCATGGATGTGACAAGGGGACCCTGCCCTGTGTAAGTCACTGCAGTGCCTCGATTCACACCAACCACCTTCCTCCCCCTGTGAGCATCACCAAAACAAATCATCAAAAACATTCCTGGGTGTTACCTTTGCCGTGCCAGGTAGCCCCGGCAGGCTGCCTGCAGGCACACGGCTCTGCTCCTGCGGGCTGTGTACGCCTGCCGGCTGCGGTGTCCCCGCCAGGCTGCCTGGATACTGGTGGCCGCGGCGTGCCGGCGCCTGGCGTGCTCCCGCCAGCAGCTCTGGATGAGGTGGGCTGCAAACTGCATCTGCAGGAACCTCCGGCGCTCCACAAAACCTCGCCAGTGGCTCTGTAGGACGATAGCGGCTTTGCTGAGAACCAGAGGGTCTGGGGATGGTTTGCCTTTTTTTCGGCTCTGGTAGCTACGCCAAAATCTCTGCAAACACAACAGGGGATTCCTTGTAATGGGTGTTGTGTGAAGACGGGACAGCACCTGCCCTCATGCAACCTCTCCAGCTCCCCCCCATTCCCAAATTATTACGGCAGTAGGAGTCAATCCTGACTGCCAAGCTCCTTCCTTGGACAGGAAGGACCTGGTTTTACCCAGGGGCTCTGTCTGTAGGATTTGGGGATGGTAATCTGCACTGGAATCCAGCACCAGCACCCACCTGTATGCTGATGGCCGCGTGCCGCAGGCTCAGGAACTGCCTCCTGCAGAGCAGGCTGCGGAACCAGCGCTGCAGCAGCATGATCCTCCGCAGCACCTCCTGATGCAGCAGGTCCTGCAGAAGCTGCCGCTCCCGCTCCTTCATGAAAACCTGGCCAAAACAACCCCAAAAACACTAGCATGGAAAGCTTCCCACACCACAAGTCAAATGATTTAATCCTCTTGGTTTCTGGGTGCTCCCAGGAAAGTTGAGGAGCTGATTTTTGTGAAGGCACCTCTAACAGGTTTCAGCAGTTTCACAATAGCCTGTGACTGTCTAAGCTCTAAATTACAGAGCTTTCCCCTCAGGGAAGGCGAAATGCGGACCATCATACCAAGTCTACACGCACACACAGATTTCCAGGATATGAGGTTTTTTAGGTTGCCTCATTACAATCAATAAAAAACCAATATTATTCCTTAATGTTTTATGTTAACAATATCAAAGGTTTCATTTAAATCATTGATTTTTGGTAGACAGAAGAAAAATAGTTTCATTAATTAAAACCATATATAGATATTAATTTATCAGACAGAAATACAAGCAAATGTTATATCTGTGTTTTAAATGCTGAGCTGAGGGTGGACATTTACCATTGTTCTTCCAACTTGGTAATTGTCTAGATTGAGTTTTATCTTCCTGAAGAAATCTTGGATATTGTGCTTAGATGGGCTGATCCCTTGTGGCAAAAGGACATGGAAATGGTTCACAAAATCCTGAGAAGGAAAAAAAAAGCAACACCAAGATTTGGTTAGTTGGGTCCTGCTGCTTCTTTCTCCCATAAATTACAGATTTGTTCCACTGGCCACATGAAACGGAACCTCTGGAATGAGCAGAAGGACAGATAACATTTTATGCACTGGGGAACACCCAGTTTCATCCAACATTTGTGGTTTGATGGAAAGACATAAAAGCAGGGACCCAGCAAGGTTCAGACATTTTTCAGCGTGGGAGGAGAGGTTCTGGAGGAGCCACAGGGTCATTCCGAGGAAAAAATGCTCCAAATCCCCAGCAAGGGCCACTACGGAACGCGGATACCAACATCTGCAAAACATCTCTGAGATGCTCCAGCCATTACTGCTGTAAGGATTCAAAGAGTAAAGGAGGTGCTAGAGGATAGATCCTCCCAAGCAAGGTTGGGATCCCTGCTCCTGGCACAAAAATATTTGAGTTTTTTTATTTTTCTAAACAGCTGCTGTGCAGAACATGATGTCTGCCCCAAAGCAGCTGCAGGCAGGAAAACTATCAGCACCAGCAAAGCATGAAAGGACCGACATGTACACAAAACCTGGCAAACATATGGAAAAGAAGAAAACAGGAAAAGCTGCCTAACTCCAGCAGTTCAGAGGATGCTGATCATCCTCCTGATGGGACACGGCCAACATGACACTGCTCTCAGTAATTCCAGATGCAGAAGAGAATGTGCAAATCAGACACTTTTTTCGAAAAGAGGGTCCACGTTGCAAAAAAATACTGATTTTGTTCAAGAATCATGGTGCAGGGGACTCACAGCCCTCCCTGAGGTGTAGATTGGCTCACAGGCAGAGAACAGCCTGTTACATCCACTGCCTTCCAAGAGCTAGAAATGAATTACCCTGATAAAAAATGAACCAGCAACACTCAGACAACTCTGTTAATGATGCTAAAGGTGATGGAAGACAAAGGCCATTGCACTCAACCTGGAAGGAGTATTTGCAGCTGTATCCTGACTGGCGAATGCGCACTGTCTCCAGCATCCCCGTGTAGCGCAGCTGCCGGAGCACCAGGCTGTCATTGAACCGCAGGGGCAGCTGGAAGGGGAAAAGCAGACCAAGGATGAGCAAATATTTCCTTTCACTGAAGCTTTTAAGTGTGTGGATGGGTAAAGGGTCCAGCAGATGTAGCACATGTGCATGACACGCTCATTGTCAGTGATGCTACCGGAGGGAGGGAATGTGGGTCCCCAGGAACTGAACTAATCCCACTGGGATTGAATCCTGTTTGCTTCTGAGTCTTTCAAACAGCTAACTAGAGAAATAAAGCCATAAAAAAAGATTTTTTGCATTTGAATTGAATAACGCCAAAGGGCACAGTTAATGGGTGAGATTTTGAGCAATTAAATAATCTCCAATGCAAAAAGCTTCAGTTTTAAAAGCTTCAGCTGGGTAAAACTGAAGGATTAATCCACAAAGCATCCCTACATTTTGAACTGAGGGTCCTTGGTCCATGACACAATTATGTAAAGTCAAATTTAAGAAATATGAGTCAGTGTGATCAATGTAGTTTATTCTAAAAGTATCTGCTTTTACTTATGGAAACTTTATTTTAGGGAAGCTTTAGGGCTCAGACCCAGCACAAGTGAATTCATGGTTCTATAAATCTCTCTTATGGCTGGTCAGAACCTTCAAAGGAGTCAAATTAATTTTATTAAATTGAATTAATTAATTTAATTAAATTGATTAAAGCAAATATATTTTTCATATAAATTAAAATACTATGTTTGCATACATGTATTTCTACAAATATAAGAGCCAGTGCAGTTTATCAAGAGTGACACCCAAGTGATAAATCCATGCTTCCCCTTGCTCAAATCTTCTAAATCCAGCTCAATTCGAGGCTTTCTTTCCTATTTAACTCCCTGTAAAAATGGACAAAAGATTCCCAAGCTGATTTCCAGCAAGACTGCTCTCACAGGATGGCATTTACCTTCTCGGCGTTGGATCGGATGCACTTGACAAAATACGGCTCTGCTTGGCCAAGGGTCTCCATCAGTTTGTTGAGGGATGCCTGCAACAGAGGAGACACAGGGAAGGGGGAGGAGAATGAAATATATGAAAATCCAAATGTTTAAATCATAAACAAACATAAACTAGAATTAATTGTGAGCAAATGAGGCACATGGGAAATTATTAACCGAAAAGAGTGTTTTAGTAGAAGCAACTTGGCTGATTTTGTCTTTGTCCCCAACAAAGAAACCAAAGATAAATACAATGCTGGGCTGGATTTTCAGATCTCTGGCTCCCCTGGAGCCCAAATTCCCATCCCACTCTACACCACAAGCCTCTTCCTGCCATGAATGGGAGGTCCAAGACAAGAATTTACACCTGGCACCAAATAACCACTAATGTTCTTTAAACAAACCGAATTTTCCTTCCTCAAAAGTGACTCTAGGCAGGATTTACTTCTGATTTTTAATTGTCCAAACTACCGTTGGCTTAAAAATGAATTGTTCTTAATGGAAGTTTTGCCAAGGGAAAATTGGGAATTTACAATAATTTTTGAAGCCTGCAACCCTGAACACTTCAGAGGTTGTTTCTAGACAAGAACTTCAGTGCTGGCCTGCTCCTGACTGAAGGATCACTGAGAATTGAGAGATTTCCTGGTTCCATTTTTCTATTTCCCCTTTTTTACTCATCACCATTAAAGTCTCTCCCATAAAAATGAATTTACATTAGCATCACTCTACAGCCAGCTGCTCCAGCGGGATGTCATGCTGAGTTATCCCTTCACCTTGCAAACCTTTGACTTTTTGGGATGAATCAGCTCTTGGAATAAAACCAGGCTGAAAACCAGAGTGTGCCGAGTCCATCGGTGCTGGCCAGGCTCCTCAGCCATTTTTTTGCTGTATCCTATAAATACTTTGAGTATCTCTAATTGTTGAACACATTACAAACATGACATTGGTAAGGTGCTACAGCGTTCATAGAATTCACATTACTCCTGATTTTAATAGAGTCTAAAATTCAATCACGTAAAGGATGTCCTGTTATATTTACTATAAGAGTTATTAATCCTGGAATATGGGAGTTAATAAACTGGTGTGGTATTACAAAGAAGCATTTTGCCCACAGATAGCTCACAGGAAGCCTTTTTTCCCTTCTGATAATTTCAAAGACATCTTTATGGGAAGCCTTTCATGTTTAGAAAACTTTGTTCACAAGATTTCTTCCAGGATTTTGGAAGGAGCAAGGCATGGATCCAGGCACGTGTGACGCAGCTGTGTTATGTACATTAACTTCATGCAAATATTGCTGCTGCTGTCCCAGGGAGCAGCAGGAATACCATGACGTGGCAGACCTCTGCTGGCATGCTCCTGGTTTTCTTAAAATCTGAAATGACTCTTTTTTACACAAAAGAAGCCCATTGGGAGCTCTCGACCAGCAGTGACCCTGCAGCATCCTGAGGTGCTCAAGGGACACAACCCTTTTGCTGCAAGCCCAGCGAGCAGTGTGCTCCCAGTGCTGGAAATGGTGGAAATGGGATGTGCTGGACCCACAGGAGGGGGTTAGGGTTAGGGCATTTCCATTCCCCCATCCTGTGTGAGGCAGATGGTCCAGGCACCCTCTGCCATCTGGTGGTTGGGAGTGTGCAAAGGACACGTGAGGTCGCTGGATTAACCCTGTGCCCGTCTCCTTTGTCCCTCTGCCAGCAAAACTTTCCAGCCACCCACTTCTTTTCCACCTGTACTCAGCCTTTTAGGAACTGTTCCATCCCGGTCTCCAGGGCACCACCTGCACGTGGGTTCAAGGGGAGCTCTACAGTTCTGGTATAACCAAACCATAGTTCTCCATCCTGAAAGCCATCCTGGCACACACTCCGAGGCACTATTTCCCCTATAGATTATCCTAAGTATAGGGATAATGGAAATCCATAGGAGATGGAGCAGCTGCAAGCCTGGTGTTGAGGCATTAGCCACAAAGCAGTGTTTCATCACAAAAAAAAAACATGATAGGAAACATTTGTGTTTCCTGCCTGTGACCCAGTTCCGTGCACCGCAGTTTTATTAGTTTGCTCTTGGTTAAAAAAGCAATGCTGCTGCTTCATCCCTCAGAATGATTCTCTTTAACAAGTGCTCAAAGAAATTAGGAGTCTTTGATTTGAATGTGCTGTGAAAATATACAAAAAACATCCATTGTGCCTCCCAGAGCTTTTCAGAATTTTGTAGGGAGCATAAATAGGTCTTGGGAAGGCTTTTCTCTCCAAGACATCCCTGTTTCAAACCCTCTGTGGGTATGAATTAAACTCTGCAGGAATGAATTTTGACCAGAATACCATTAGATTAGGCAAGGCTAAAGATATATATATATATATATATGAAATATACAGATGTGCATTATGCAAATTATATATACACGTGTATGTGTGCATATATTTTTAATTATTTAATCTTACCCACACCTATACACTGAGACTTTCTAAATATAAACCACATCTCCAAAAAAAACCCCAAAGCAGTCAAAATTACAAGTCAAAACCAACCCAGGCTTGCTCAGAACCCAGATTCTAAGTGAAAAGCTGCCTTCTATTATCACCAGCTGCTCGTGCACATGTCTTGTAGCCGTTTCCAAGCTGTGATGCACATATAGAACAATCACATTTAGGCTGGAAAAGACCTTTAAGATCATTGAGTCCAACTGTGAGCCCAGCACTGCCAAGCCCTTGGAGAATTATTTTCCCTGCACCAAGCCCCGGGATTGCTGACTGGCACACCGCACTGACAACACGAGATCCTCCTCTGAATTCACCTGTTTGCCTGGAGATAATGCAGCAGGGTTCTGACCTTTTGTCTGACCTTTCTGCCCCTATTAGAAGTCCCATTCTGTCTCAGAACAGATTATGCTGCATGAGAGTAAAAAGACTGCAAAAACTGTGGTTTGGTGATTTTGCGGTTTCTGGATTTGGAGAAAAAGCTCCACAATATGAGGTACCAGAGAACAGGGATGCACCAACATCTCCCTCTGCAGCTCATCCTCATGTCCCACCTATGATCCCCATCCTCACTCTTATTTCTCTCCATTTGCACCCTTTAAATACTGCTGTGTCTCCCAGTTCCCTCAAGCCCTCAGTGGGCTTCATGACCTAAATGCTGCAGGGGATGGGGCAGGACTGTGCCTAGAGCAGCTGGTTCCCCTCTCTCCATCAAAGCAAAGGGCTCACCTGGAACTGGGCGCTGATGCTGGGTGGTTTTTTCTTCTTATGGAGGTGGAGGAGAGATTTGGTAATGCGGTCGTGCAGCGTCAGGTTTGTGAGGTGCTTCAGGGACTTCACATCCAGCAAGTGCTGCGGAAAAAAGAGAGAATTCATAGAAAACCCAGATGTTACCATCACACCATCTGCTACATCCTTCCTTTACCCTCACAGGGAGATTAGTTGATGTAATCTCAACAGGGAACGCTGAGGGATGGCTTCCCTGTGAGGGTGGGCAGGCCCGGGCCCAGAGAAGCTGTGGCTGCCCCTGGATCCCTGGCAGTGCCCAAGGCCAGGCTGGATGGAGCTTGGATCACCCTGGGACAGTGGATGGTGTCCCTGCCCATGGCAGGGGGAAGAACTGAATGACCTTTAAGGTCCTTTCCAACACAAACCACTCCATGATTTTATGATTCTCCTCACTGTTAATGAGCAGTTCATTGATAAATCGCTTCGGTGTCTCTCCAGGTACGAGATGGACATAGAGAGGAGTAAAAAATGTATGGTACTTCCCTGGTGCTCTGTTCCTGACCATAGATGCAGCACCAGTGAGGACCACAAAAAGCATTGTTCTTTTAGGGACAGCAGATCTCCTGGTACCTCTAAAAATATAATAAATGTAGCCAAGACAGAGGGAAAGTAACAAGGTTGTTGTCTATCAGTATCTATGTTGTCTATCAGGAAGTGATCAGCTCTCCTGCATCACTTACTTGCTCATTTTAGTTTTGAGATTTGGTTATTAAATTTCACCAGCATGTATGTACTCCTCAGGAGGTAAAAGGAGCCAGAGCAGCTTCAAAGAGGATGTAAGTGCTCTTATCTCTCTTTCCCAGCAGAAATCAGGGCTGAAAACCTTTGGGTTTATATGAATTAAAGAGCCCTGAACAGAGCTGAGTTGACGGAAGTCTGGGTGTAGACACAATGGTCTTCTTCATATTCAGCAGCATCACATCACTGTGCTACAGCCTTAACCCACAGACCACAAGGGGGAAAAGGCTGCTTCTCACTCACCTTTGGGAGACTGGGTTTGGATTTGAAGTTCTTATTTCGCCTGGGGAGATAACAAACGGCACAGATTAATCCACAGTGCAGTTGTGCAATGGAGGAGTTTATGAGACCAGCCCCTCCAAACCCCACTAGCAGCTGCTGCCCCTAGCTGGCACTGAAATGGGGCTGCCCCTGCAGATTGCAGACTGAGGGGAAATGGATCCAGGTCATGGGAATGGTTACATTGGAAGTGATGGCATGCTGGGAATTTGGGAAGAGCAAAGAAGCCAAGTCACAAAATGACTGACCAGGCTCCTGCTTTCCAATCTCCATGTTCATTCCAGCCACCCTGGGATGCTCCCCGAACCATCTAAGAGGCTGCAGTGTGAATCATCAACATCACCTGCCCAGGTAATTTACAATGGAAACTTTGATATGATGTTAAAGGTGTGACTACATTACATGGCTGCTGTAACTCCAGACTGGTGTGACCAGCAGGTTTGTTCCTTCTCTTCCTTCCTTTGTCTGTCATTCTGAATGAATGAGACAAGTTAAATCAGACATGTCAAATGTACTGGGGTTGCTTTGACCCAACTGGGAAACACCTCCAAGTCTACTTGGTGCCCTGAGAGTTTTATCTCCTGGCTATTTACATTCCCCTAACTTCCCATGCTGCTCATTATGCTCCAGGAGCAAGCCCAGATCCCCTCCTGGGTACTGACATGAGGATGCCATGGGCCCTCTCCAGCAGTTTGCTGTTGGTCGCGTTGACGAATATCCCATCTTTGTCCAGGAAGGTGCCAGGGCTGGCAAGCCTGTTGTGCCTCATCCCCATCCGGCCATTCCAGCCAACTGCATAGGCATCCCTGAAACACCAGACAGCGTTAGGAAGAGATAAAAACACGGTTCTATGAAAAAAAGAGATCATAAAATAACCCACTGGTAGAAAATGAGCTGCTGCTTTTTTCTTTCCAGTTTTCATTCACTCCCATGGGATGAGTCCTTGGTGCCAGACAGCCATTGTTTACTAAAGCACCTCTCAAAGATCAAATATTCACAAAAGGAACAAATTATCAGCAGGACAATAACAGCTTCCAGCTCTCCCACACAGAAACCTTGAGTCTGCAGATATCTCTGGATACCTTTGGTGGTCTGAAGAACATGAGGCCATGATATCTGGTGCTGACTCTGTCTCCTCAAATTCACACAATCATTCCGTTAGGAAAAGAAAAAGCAAATCTAATTCACAATAAACTCCTTATTTGCCACAAAGATGGATGTCAGCCCCAGATGGATGGATTGGTTGACCCAAAATCACTCTCTGGGACCTGATTACAGATCAGTCACTCAATTTGGCTCCTGCTGCCATGGAGCCTAACTGCTGTGGTCTCCAGAAATGCTCACCTGGCTTCAGAAGGGCTAAAGGGAAGGAGTAGAGGAAGCAAAATCCTGTCTTGGAGGGATGGAAACAGATACTTGACCAAATTACACATTAGGACAAGCAATTTCCAGAGATAAGGAGCCTTCCAGTGGTGTCTGGGGGACATGAAGCCCGTTATGGACAGCACCCAAACAAAATACTTTTGTCTTGGTGTGTTTTTAGTGGTTTGTTGGGGATTTTTAAATTCTAATTTTTTTTATCAGTCTTGTAGAAATCATCATACAAAATAAAAGCAATCTAAGGAAGGATGTGGGGCCTGGAATGCCCACCCCTGCCCGCCCCCAAGTTATCTCAGACAGGAGGAAAAGGAACAGGAGGAGACTCCAGGCTGTACCAGGTCATGAGGATGCTGAAGGACACGGTGCTTTAAACGCGGCCTCAGGCGCCAGCTACTTCTGAGGTCTGACAACAAAGCAGTCCTTTGATTTGGAGGAAAGGCAAATCTCAAGTGCCACATGGAAATTAAAAAATAAAGGATGTAAAGCTGTATGTTCAGCCAGCTCAAAGCCTGGAGCCAGATCCTCAGAGCAACGGCACCTCACTGCCTCATCTGAGCACTTCCCAAATTCCTTGCTGATCCTATTAAATCACATTTTGACATGGACCACTATTATAAGGAAGGATTGATCACAGCAAAGAAAAACCCCTGGCTAAGTGCTCCAGGACCTGCTTTCTTAAGCATTCCATTCACAGATTGTAAGAGAGAAGTTTGAATATCCAAGTGATCTCTCCTGTTCACCTTTTTTCTCTTTACATCCATCCACCAAAACCCTCCTGTTGGCAGGTGGGGAAAAAAAACACACCAGTTGATGGGAACCACTAAAGCTCAACAGCCACCTTTGGGATGTACAATACCATTAATCCTGGCCAACCTCTCTGGAAAACCCTAGAAATTCCCATGTGGTTTTGAACAACCCAAGAGATAAAATGACAGCTCTGATGGTTGTGGATGCTTTAGGATGGATATGTTCACATGCCAACAGATGCAGGCTTTTGGTACTTCAGGGTCAATCACCTCACTGAGCCCAGCCAGCTGTTTCCAGACCAACACTTGCTCAGACACCCCTGCACATGAAAGTGTCTCTGGCGAGCACAAACCAGCAGGATCCCAACCAGCCCAAGTGGTTTTGGTTAGGCATGGCCTGGCGTTCATTTCTCAGCAGCTGGGGAAGGCATTTGGAACATCTGCTGAAGCCTGGTTTCCCACCCAGCATGTGCAAACCACCTGTCCACTTTTTTCTGAGATCAGAAGAGAGCACTTGGCTTCCTAAAGCCTCCACAGTGACTTCCTGAGTGATGTCATGCCTCAAAATTGCTTTTAGAAACAGGCCTTGAGCTATCCTGTAGGATGGATGCATGACAAGACTTATCAGCAACCACATGATCATGAGATGGCTTTGAAAGCAATTCCTGTTTAATTTGGAGCCGTAATTGCTTGCCAGTTGATCTGATGGGAAGCTGCTAAAGTAAATCTCTCTTCCAGATGTGTTACCTGCACTCCTGTGCTCACCTCCTCCTGCTCAACAAGTGCCATTTACCTGAAATACCAATATTCATCATGTGGGACATGACTCTCCAGACCAAGAGCAGCTACAATGAAAGGGATCAAAATCACCTGCCTACTCTGAAAGCCCAGCTGGACCTTGGAAATCTTCTGAGACATCTGGTACTTCCAAAAGGATGGGGAAAAGGAGACATTTGGGAATCCATTACTGAAGATGCCCAAGGGAAGTGAAGATCATGGACCACGCTACTGAGGCACCACAGGAGGAGGAACACAGGAGTTAGGATTATTCCAAAAGCCCATTTTCTGCAAATAAAGGCTCAGATTAAGGCTGCTGATAGGACACAGCTGTTGACGATGAGGAAGGAAAACACAGTTCCTCAATTCTGGCTGTTTAGGCTGACTTGTCTGCTTGCTGGCATGGGTTAAGTCACATAAGCAGAGCTGACCACATGCTGAACTCCACAGTAAATAAACACATCCTCCTCTTTGCCTGGGTCAGGAACAGTTTCCCTGCTTTTAGAACATCCCTTTGCTGAGATAATTGAAATATTTTGAGCTACGAAAATGTTGGCAGCCAAAGCTCCTTTTAGATTCCTAAAGTGCCTCCAAAGCTGGAGTTGGGCAGTTAAGAAAAGCCCTGTCCCAGTTCACTGATGTTCTTCATGTAGCAAAGGTTGGATAGAGGAACTGCAGGAATCCTCTTATCTACAAGGGAAGATCTCCAAAGGGACAAAGTTTCACATTACGTTATCTTGAGGGAAACTTGCACAATCAGAGGTGCTGGAACGTCACCTCTGGAGACACCAATCTTCCCTGCTTCGAGTGCTACTGAGCACCGAGTGTCATCACAACCCAACCCGCCAGAGCCCCAGCAGCTGCAGCATTAGAGAAAGGAAAGGAAGGTGGCAAAGACTGAGGTGAGGACAGCCAGGTTCCTTCCCAGGACAGGGTGACACTGCTTGTGGATTTCTGCTCAAACTCGAGAAGTGGCACAAATTTATGAATTCAATCCCACCATTTTAAGTAAATCCCATTCTCTCTAACCACTGAAATGGACTTGTAATGATGTGAGAACATTCAGTTCTCCTTCAGGAGGGTGTCACTGCCTCTCTCAAAGGGGAGGAATTCGGAAGAGGAAGGACATTCTTCTAGAAAAAAAGGAACTATGTGTATCTAATTTTTGTTGTGGCTGTTTGGCATTAAAGCTATTAAAAATGAGCCTTTATAACATCCTTGAAGGATATTTAATTTTGTGTGGAAGGGAAGCAACTGGGATGCAAGAACTGATTTATTGGACACATTTCAGGAGACAAGACTCAGACTCCTCTTGACTTGTTCTGGGCTTCTCATAAAGACACGCTGGAATATCTGCAGCCCCAAGCAGTGGTTGCAGGAGCTGAGGGTGCTCCTTCCCCAGCTCAGAGGGAAGCAGAGAGGCACCCTATGCCTTCAGAGGGGTATTAGGAAAATCAGACCTCCTGGGATGTGTGGAGGAATAGCACAAGAGTAGCTGAGAAAAGGATCAGTGCCCAGACATGCCTTGGAAATGAAGACTTTGGCTTCACAAGCAAGTTAATTCTGGAACGGGAATGAAAAAGGCTTTGCAGAAGAGGCACAGATCTGTATCTCAAGTGTAGATCTGAGTCTCGTTCAGTAGCTGCTTAAATGGTCAGAAACTTCAAGGAAGGAATTAAAAATAAAAACATACATAAAATCTGTAAAAATCAATCAATTTTGAAGCAAATGTGCTTTTTTTTTCCTCTTGAAAGCAAGCATTTGGCAAAGTACCATCTCAAACCCGTACCTTCCAGGTTTTCCACATTCCAGGGTGCCTGGAGCCACCACATGCTGCATGCAGTTCTGCACCCAAACCTGTCCTCCTTAAATGACTATTTCCTTGATATTGGCACATTCATTCATTTTTTAAAGCTTCTTCTCCCCTCGTAGTACACCCACCACCACCAACTGCTGCCTCTGTCACAGGAAACTTGCTTTCCCTGACTGCTGCTCAGTCGGGAAAGGTGTTTAGATCCCATCATATGGCGGAGAAAGAACGAAGAGAAGATTGAAAGGCGAGATGGGAGAAATGTCAATACAGCCATTTTTAGGTACAGACGGTGCCCTCCCACCCCAGATCCCCGGCCATGCCAAGGTGAAAGCAGAAGCCTTACCGTGGGCTCCTCTCGTTGATGGTGTTGACTCCCTGGAGGTCTGAGAGCGGCGTCCGCGGGCTCTTCCGAGTGATACCTGAAGCAGCACATGAAGAAGACATTTCCAGCTGGCTCACAGCCAACAGACAATTAGCAGAGCCATCCCCACAGACAATTAGCAGAGCCATAGCTGAGCCCTGACTGTGGCGCCGAGCGGCGCAGACGTGTCCTGGCACATGCCGGGCACAGCCAGGTGCCAGGGATGCCATCGCTCCCCGGTCCCACCTCCCTGCCAGAGTCATCACCCTTTGAGTAACACTGTTTGCTCCAGCCTCTAATTCCCCTCCCACACACACATGGGGTGCTTCAGGGGCACGCTGTCCCTGCCAGAAAATGGGGTGAGGGAAGGAGCTAATGGGGGGGAGCAGCCACTCATGTTCCCTGTGTCCAAGAGATTCCCGAGCTTTCCACTGTGCATGGGATAACCCAGCTGCACGGGCAAAACACCTGGACATAATTAGAATGCTTGAAAAAATGGGCATTTACTCCTTAGACACTTCTCTCCCTCCCTCCAAATATATGGACATGTGTAGCAAGTAGGAAATACTTTATACACTATTTCACAAAGGCTTGATTGCCAATTGAGCCTATATCCTTTGATACCTGGAATAATTTATTTGTAATAAAATATGTCTAATAAAACAATATATTAAATAAAGTATCTATTTTATATTCAGCCAAGGAAGCTGCCATACATGCTTACAGTAGCAGCTGTTGTCTTCCCCGAAGTGGAAATGTTTTGTAACCAAGCACTTACGAAGACAATTTTTGTAGACAACAAAACACTTCAAGTCACCAAACCACAGAAATGTAAAGATCTGATAATGTGGAGTTTGACATGAAAACAGCTGAGCAATTTTATAACTGTCTCAAAATCACTGCTGTGAGACAGGAAAAATCACAGCTCTCACCACAGCATGGGGAAAAGGTGTTTTATTCTACCCTGAGACATCTACAGTGGGAAAAAAAAGGGAAAATAAAGCTTTCTAAAAAGAAAAAAGTCTAAACTAGGGTTTGTAGCAGGACAGGAGGAAGCAATGGCATATCCCCTCCTCCCCATATTTATAATTCCACTATTTTGTGCAGCCCAGGTGCTGAGCTGAAAGATGTCCTGGCGATTTGTTATTCCGAAAGATGAACACAAAGCAAATACTCTTAGAGCTGAGCCCGTCCTGCTGCTCTGAGCCTGGAATTCCTGAGGAGAAGCTGAACTCCTACCAAAGTCAACGGTGACTTGAACAGGACATTTACCGCCTTCCTTGCCCTGGTAAGGTGTTGTAACAGCTCATCTTGAAGATGAACAGGAGAAGCAGTTCATCTTGAAGTGGGCAGAAGATCCCTGAAAAGGTTGATGGTCCACCTGATTAAGTTTTTGCATCTAAAGGTGCCCAAATATTCTGGACATGGAAATGCCAACAAAAGAAAATTTGAGGGTGTGCTCCCCCTCTTTGAACCCAGCCTGTGGTCCAAAGCAGGACCAACCAAATCACTCCTGCTGAGGTCTGGCATCTCCAGCACTGGAGGTTTTTGGAAAGCATGGCAGGAAATGCATCTGAGTGCTTAACAACACCCAAGCTCAAAATCCTTTTCAATTCTGCTTTTTGCCGTTTAAGCCATTTTTGGTTTACATTTCTTGTCCTAGGAGTGTTCCTGTACCTCTTTCAAGACTGGCATTTCTGTGTCCAAAGTCCTGATTTAGAGCACAGAAACTCAATTGTAAAAAGGGAAAAATGGGAATAACCAGGAGCCTGCTTAAAATGTTGCATTAGTAATTTGTGTAGCTAGTTTTAGACTAAGAAAGCATCTAATGTCTAGCTGGATCTATTTTTAATATAGATTAATATATTTTAATACGCTTGGATATTCCCCTGTTAAGGCCCAGAAGGCTTTTCTTGTCTAAAGGAGTCCATGAAAAATGGGATTTCACTGGTATTTTCAAGATTTTTTAGAATATCTTTTTGGAGCAAAATCTGTCTTCCTACCATTCCCTGCACTCCCCACCAAAGAAAAGGTCCAAAACACTTTCCAGCCCAACAAGTCAAGCTGAAGTGATGAAGACAAGGTTGTATCAAATTATCCCTGCATCCTTGCATTGCTCAGGAAAAGGGAATTTCTATTTCAGGCTTTCAGGTAACATTTAAACTGCATCATGGTTCTGCCAGCTCAGCACCTTAAGTGACTTGTTGACTGACAAAGGTCACAGTGCACAAGTTGGGTTAAAGAGAATTGCTTTAGATACACCAAGTATAACGACTTTTCTACCTTGTGCCATCACTTGGCTCTTTAAAAAAGCAATATAGCCAAAAAAGCTGACATGTTTCTTATTTCTGGGAAATAAAGGGGCTTTTTATAAATAGAAGGTAAAAAGGTCTTAGACTTCAGCTGGTGAGTTGCACCCGGCCTTGAGGATTGTGTATGGTGAATATGGGCTATTAAATAGCAGGAAAGAACAATGTGTGAATGGCAACAACCTCTCACTCCCTTCATCCAGCTCAGATACAGCCTGATCTGCTTTACACTTCAGGCAGAAAATTATTCTGATTTTTCAAGCACATTCCCCATCCTTCAGCCGGAGTGTTTCAGCAAGATGGACTGATTTATCAAACAGGTCTTAGCTCTTGTTGAGAAGAGTTTTGGATAAGCCCTGTCTACTCCCTGTGGGTGAATGTCAACCAGCAGAGTTCCAGTCTTGAATCAGAGGTGTCTAAACCCAGTGCCTTGCTGTGGAGGGACTGGTGGGCTCCATGGCTCCAGGGAAGCAGCTGATGGTAAGGGAAGGGTGACCAGTTGGCTCCAGAAGCTGAACACCAAGGGACCTACAGGGAATCTCAGTAAACTCATCAAACCAATTTGTTTCTCTCTTTGTTCAGAACTAGTTGCACAGTTCAAGACAAGGAGATGACCCTGGTTCCTGTCTCAAGGATGATGTGGATGTATAAGCTCATCTGACTTGTGGGAAAAGCTGAGTCCCCAGGGCCAAGCTTGCCTGTGGGTGGATTCTGAACCGGAACGCTATGCACGCCCCAAGCCCACCTCAGCTTTCCAAGGCTGGGAGCCTGGGGAAGCAGGAGCACACCCCATGGGAAGGTGGAAGGATCTCTGAATGCAGAACATGAATTACTCATTTGCCTGGTCAGATGCTAATTCACAAACTGCGGCAATGCTCTTCTTCTTAGACCCATTGGTTGGATTTATCCTAAGAGATCTCAAATTGTGTGAAATAGTCTGTGTTAGTGAGGTTTTGAGGTGCTGAGCCCAACATTGAGCTCAACTTCCTGCTTCCCACTAAATTAAAGCTCTAAGTATCGCTTGAGTTGTATGAATTTCCTTTTTCCCACCTAAGGAACTGCAAACTAAACCCCTCAAAATTGCCCATATTGTTGAGCCAACCTAAGAATTAAATTGATTCATTAATTGCAAGTAAAACTACTCTGCTGATAACCACTTTCCTTTCCAATCGTTTCTTAGTAGTATCAGTAAGGTCCCTTAGCATGACACCACTTAATAAAATCTAAAATCAAATAAAATTTAGCATCACTCCTTTTTATTTTTCTTACAGCAGCATTGGGAACTAGTAGGGGAAAATAATGTAGTTAAATTAAGAATGAAAGCCTAAATTAAGACCTAAACCACCATTGCTCCCCCAACCCCACATGCTGCAGGAAGCACAGACATCTGATAGAAGGTTTCTAACAGGAAACCCATATTTATGAAGATTTAACATGCACCTACTGTACTTACCATGCTCAGCTGTACAAAAAAAAAGGTAGTTTCCACTTACACCTAAATTTCATGAAGTTTAAGCAAGTTGGGCTGAAGCTTTGCCCATGCAGAGAAGCTCTATTTCTGTCAGCTTTAACACACAACATGAAGGAAGAGAATAATGGTAGGAAAATAATATATCTAAACATGAGAGCACCAAATATCTATTTAAATATAAAAATAAAATAGAGTAGTGCAGGCAAGAATGTCCATGTTGTCATGCAGGATGAGTTTATTACATGACAGAGGAGTGAAGATGAAGAAATGGAGACCAAGTGCATCATTCTGTAAAATAACATTGACAATGCCTCTGTTTTAAGTAAAAGCCCTGGGAGACATTATTTTCACAAGCTAAAGATATTTCTGAAATCCAATGAAATCCAAATTAAATTGAATTCCAGCTGTACCAGCCTTGTATCAGGAATATTCTTTATTAATGTCAGCGAGTAAACGGGGAAATTGCCAGCAAAATGATTTTTGTCAGATCTCAAGAGATACGGGTTTGCTTTTAATTTGACTCTTCCAACTCTACCTAATATTTCCCAATAGGCTCAAAACTGCTCTAAGGCAGCTGGTTTGATCATGGAGCACTCCTCAGGCCTGTTTTTTATCCTTTCTACATGGAATGCACCTGGTTTCCATTTCTGGATGTGTGAGTGTGGTATCAGAGGGGAGGGCGGGTGGTGGAGCCTTACTGTACTTCTCCTCCTTGCACCTCTGCAGGATCTCTAAGCTCCTCTGATGAACTGGGTGGTGGAGAAAGCTAAAACTATCCACACTTTTCAAAACCGCACATGGCACTGCATCATCATGCCCTTGGGAAGCAAAATAAAAACAAAAAATAATGGAGAGAAGAGAAAGATTTTATAAGCAGAAATCAGGAGAGGGGAAGGAACAAGCCCGAAGGAGCTCGAGGGTCACGCGTTTTTGCGCTTGACACAATTTAACTGCGGTTTCCTCCACACTGAGCTGTGGCACGGGAGCAATGGGCAGGACTACATCCCAGTCCCAATTATAATCCTCATTAGACAGAGCATAAACACTTAATAATCACTCCAAGATCACTTGGGTAAAAAGAGGATTATTAGATAAATCTTTACTTTTATTAACTTATTTTTAAAGTCCTTTCCATGCCTCTGCCTGGTGTTACCCACAAATCCCTGTCCAGATGCTCCATGACACAACCACCTGGAATTCTCATTTTGCAGTGCTACGTTTTGGCAATTAAAAGGAAAAACAGAAATTATTTGCATTAAGCAGCATTTCCATATTCCCTGAAGGCAGAGAACACAGTGTCTGGAGATCGGCAGGATGGGTTTGGGTTGGAAGAAACCGTCGATGTGTGTCCAGGAGGATTTCTGATGCCCAGCTGTGAGCAACAGGGTGGCGGAGAGGTGACGCCAGTGACAATGTACCAACACACAGAGCCTCTCTACCATTGTTGGCCAAGCCCAGGATGTGCCACACTCCCAGGGAGGTAGGTGTGGGGAGGTCACCATGGAGTCACTTTGTGCCAGCATCTACAGCAGCATTTCATATCAACACATCAAACCGTCGGAAAGGACTGGTCTGCATTTCTGCAGGAACACGGTCAAGGAACGTCTTCCTCACCTTAACACCAGTGAGACCTCAAACACCAAGCTTTTGGTTGCTGTCACCTTCATTTGGCAAATGCAGTCTTTTTTATTGATTATTTTGAGGGCAGTAGGGTTGTTTTTTTTGTGATCAGCTTCAGGAATAAATCTGAAGAAGCCAGTGGGATTATTTTTAAGCAGGAATTATCCAAGGAACAACCTTTGTTGGCCAAATCCAACTGCAGAGCCCATCGAGGACAGGCACAGCCTCAAGACCACAAAACCTTCATCAGAGCAAGGATATAGGTCCAGCAAAACCAAGTCTCTGCAGCATAGTTTGTATGAACAGCACCATTTTTTCCATTATTGCTAAGAATTAGAGGGTTTTGCATAATAAATGTGTATTGATGACAGCAGAAAAAGTCAATCATCCAATTTTCTTTCCTAAAATGCTTGACAGTGTTCCTTTAATCCAAGTTCACAAACAAATCCAGTTCTAACACGCAGTTCTATTGGACCATTTCAATCCTCATTGATAAACTTAGTGATAAGAAGAATTAAAAATCAAATTATTGAAGAGTTCCACCCTTCAGCTAAGTACAGCTTGCCTGATCCTGGCTTCCTTCATTTGAGGAGTGTTGTAAGAAGCACTGTAAGAAGCATCACTCAGGCAGAACACAAAGGTACCAAAGAAAATTCACTGTGACACCACTTTGCTGCTCTTCACCTTCAAGCTAATGAGGACAATCACACAATCACCAAAAGCTGCACTAGGAGGGTATCAGGAGCACAAGAAAAGAAGAGTCCCCAAAGCCAGCAAGAAAAAATGCTGATTATCCTTCCAGAAGCATCTGCTTGGCATAGAGGAGACAACTAAAAGGATGATGTGGAAAGGAAGCAGAGCAAAAATTCGCAGAGCTGCTTAGACATAAGCAAGGGATTTTTCCAGAAAATCCCTGTTGGGTATTGCAAGCATAAAAGCACAAGGAGATCCAGTTGGAGTTCAGACAAAGAGTGCAAAGAACCTTTAATTAAAAGAAGCATGTTTTGGGTATTTCCCTGCTCCCTCACTTCACCTGCCTGATGGATGGGGAAAGAACCTCAGAAACCAAGAAGAGGCAGCACATCTTGAAAAAATATCTGTACAAATATTAAGTGTGTACATGTGGATGACTGTGTGAGAGAGGCTCTTCTTACTCCACCATCATTTTGTCAGAAGCTCCACATCTGTGAAGGTAGATGCTCAAATCCGGCTAATTAAAGCCATCAAGGTTAGATAAAAAACAAAATAAACCTCCAACATGTGCTGCCTTTGGTTCTCTTGTTCTGTTTATCAAGATGGGAGAATTTTACTGATACTTTTAATAAACTCACAAATGTTTTCTGCCATAGAGGCAAAGCATCAATTTGGGGCTTTTCTGCATTATTTTGGAGAGAAGAAGGGGAATTCCAGCATCTGGCAGTGGATGGATCTTGCCACACCAGCCCATCACACTGTCCTGACACTGGCTGAGCCTTCTGCCCGTGTCTACCTCTTCCACAGCCACCGGCTTTGGTGACAGGATTTTGGAGGGGGACAACAGAACAGGGGATGTTCCACACCAATGGCTGTAAGGTCACACCAGCAACAAAACACTGAAAACACTGCTACTGATCTCAGCTTGCTAAGTGTGACCTGGGCAAAGTAGAATCCCAGAATGGTTTTGGGTTTTGGGTTGGAAGGGACCTTAAAAATCATCCAGTCCCACCCCGTGCCACGAGCAGGGACACCTTCCACTACAGGTCGCTCCGAGGCCTGTCCAGCCTGGATGGTCATGCTTGGACATGGTGGGTAGCTCTCCAAGAGGGCAAGGACAGTGATCCCAGCTCTGCCACTGCCTGTAGGCTAAATTTTCTCCACAGATGAGGTGTACCTCAGTGTGGAATTCAGATTTAGGTAATCACCTCCTACTAGTGCTGCCTGCATAATGGAGACTTTCTCATGACTTTTTCCCAGATTGATGCACATAGAAGCTCAGGGTATAAATGACCTGAGGATTGCTGTAAAGTTTAAGACAAACCTTATCCAGCTTTCTGAGGGGTTTGGTTTTCTTTGACTCAAAACCCAGAGGGTACAAAGCACAGAGCCATTTGAATACAGGCTAAAGGACATGGACAGATAATGGAGCAGCACCATGAAAAGGTTTAGAAATTCAGCCATAACCATGTATTGGTTAATTTTGGTACGGAAAGAGAAGGTGATGCAAGAACCGAGTCTCAGAATTGTTTCAAGACCTCCTGGACTCATCCAGTTATATCTATATATCTATAATCATGTACGTAGGATCATATCTATTGTATCTATTGATATAGATAGATATAGAGAGATATAAGCAAGTTACCACTACAAACTCTGGACTGAGAAGTGGGAGTGAGGAGACGAGCACAGCAGTGTACAGGACCAGTTGCCAGAGACACAGAAGCGAAGCAGGGCTTGAAATCAGCTCTTAGTTCCTGAGATTGAATGATTTTTTCTTATCTTCCAGATTACCTCATTTGAGTTCAGCCTGGGGTTTGTTCAAGATGAAAATGCAAAGATGGATTTTGGAAACCACCTCTTTGGAGTGGCCTTTCTCCCAATGCCAAACATCTTTGCCATCTCCCTCTTCAGTTACTCTGACCAAAAATGCTGCCTTGATGTGCCAGACAGACCCAGGCTCAAGAGAATCGGCTCTTATGCTGCATCCAAGAGGTGTCAGAGGAAGAACCTCAAGAGCTGAAAGTTGATTTTTTTGCCTCCTGCTCTTCTTGGGATTTGCTCCCAAGAAAATTTTAATTCTGCTTGAAGAGTTTGCATCCCTATGCTCTTTGTCCCAGGCTCCCTCACTCTCCACGATGCAAACCTCACTGATTACAAAGTAATTCATGATGCAGCTCTGCGTTTAATTTTAACCCAGCTGACATTTTCCCAGCTGAGGCTCTAATTCCATCACGGATTTCAAGCCCTCTTGTGCCCAGAAATGAACAGTAATAGCTTGTACCCGTCTTTCCGAAATTGCTTTACGCAGAGAAATGGTCTAAAGGCACAGTCAGGTCTTGCCTGCCACAGCATGATGATGCACCATCACTTTCCTTTAATTTAATGCCCCTGTGATCCGTAGTTCTGGATGGCTGCAAAGGCATGAATTTTGCTAGACAAGAGATATGCTCTCCTGCAGCTGAAAATGTGAACAGCTTGGAAAATGATAGGAAGATTTATTGCCTTTTTTTGTTTCCAGATGTAACCAACAGTTCAAGAATTATTATAAAAATAATTTGCTTTTTTTGCTGGATAATTTATTTGTCTCTGTTTGAACGACTTGGGTTTTTCTATCCATGCATCCTACAAAAAGGAAAAATTAAAGCAGCAGTAAAATGAAAATATTTCCTTATGATATGTTAAAATCCAAATGGTACCTTTAAATGTGACTTCCACGAGAAACCTACCTGTTATTTCAAAGAGTTTTCTAATAGATTCAGAACTCCTATTAAGTCAGGCTACTTAAAACACAGTAATAACACATTAAACCCAAATTGCCAGTGGAGAACAGGCTCCAGACCAGGTGATGAGCACACGTACCAGTTTTCTTTTCCACGTATCGTTTTCCAGCCTCCCTAAAGGCAACCATAGCCCTGAAAAAGGCCCTCAGGACGGCCCAGCGGAAAACAGCCACGGGATCAATCCCGATCATCCCACAGATAAAGGCGTTCTTGCTGCTCCGCAGGAGAGCAACGATGTCTGGGCGCATGTGATCCGTGTTCTTCTCTCGGAAATCCTAGGGAAGGAGGAGGAGGGAAGAGGAAAATAAACAATATCCACACAGTAATCCAGGTAGGATCTTCCAGGCTATCTCTGGGCCAGCACAACTATTGAATCCTGTTTCTTTTTTCTCTCCTGCTCCCGGTATCAGATGGCTCTTGATGACCATCAGCTCTGATGCTTATCACGTGCATTTCTTGCATCAGAAAGAGGATGAGAGATTTACAGCTGCAAATCCTGGGGCTGTTTCTCACACAGGCTCATCTGATCACCAGAATTCCTTCTGTTAATAACTGGCATGAATAGAAAGAGACAACTTTGGAATCATTCGTGTGGGATTCCAGAAAGTACCTGTGGCAGTGGGATGCTGAGACCTAAGCACATATAACCTGTATTAAAAGTGGCTAATGATGAGGAAAACACTGGGTTTTCTAGACAAACCAAGCCCAGAAAGGCCACCAGACACCCAAGTTCAACTTGTCATTCAGGTGTAGCACTGAGCTCACTGCATATCCCTAAATTCTTCCCGAAATGCTCACGTGGAGGAAAACAGGAAGATCCTGTCCCTGTCACATTTTCATTTCCCCAAAAACTTTTCTCCTGGCCATCCCATCTTCTTGGGCCAAGTCCTCTCCAAAACATCTCTGTGGAGCCTCTGGGGCTTCCCTTCCCAATCCCTGATTTAGATGAAAGCAACTGCCAGGGAACAGCTGGGGGACAGACCTTGACTCCGTACTTCACTTTGCCCGCGTAGTGTTTGATGATGAAAGCTGGCTCCATCACTGCTGGGAATTCAATGTAGGAGTTCCCTTCGTGCTGACGCTTGAATTTGTCCAGCAGTGTCTGGTTTGTGGCTTGAGGAAAACTGAGTGGAGAGAATTGAAAGGAAGAAACTGTAAACCCAACGGGAAAACTTTTCCACTTCTTTCTTGTCCACAAAAGGGAAAACAGAGACATTCTGAGCTTCCACTTCTCAGTCTGCTTCAGCAGAGCCTCTTGGTAAGAGAAAGCCAACCCTCCATCCTCAAACTTCATGGAAATCTGCTGCATGGGAATGTATTTCACAACTTTACCCAATTTAAGTTGATTTATCCCAGAACAGTATCACTGGGAGAGCATCACTGCTGCTCTCCTGTCAATGAGACAAGAAGTGGGGGAGAAATCTGCAAAGGCAAATGGTGGGAGAAGACCTCATGCCCTGGCCATGTGTATCTGAGGTGACCTCAGCAAAACCACCTGGCCTTTCCCTGCCTTTCCCAGGGAGGAAACTGGCACGAGCATCCGATGGGAGAAAGGTTCTACTCCAAAGTTTCCACACCAAGGCAGCCCCAGAAGCCACATGTTCACCCAAGAACTTCTCCTGAGACAGATGGATTCAACCAAGGATGCAAACCTGAGCCAAGTTCCTGATGCCCATAAAACCCTGTGGAAATGCAGCCCCTATGGACAAGTGTCCTCACTTCACTCTGGTTCAATTTTTACCAGTAAACTGATAAATCCACCTTATGTCTCAATAACAGCACCTACACATCCTGCTTCAACTCATGGTCCTGCGTTCAGCACCTTCACGCTGTCACACCCCAAGAGATAGGGAAAGAAATGAAGAGAGAAGCAAAAGAAACCTTTTCTCTTCCTTTTAATAGAATAAATTCTGGAAAGGAATTTTAATTATTATTTTTAAGGCTTTTTGCTCAGCTGGCTGATTCTCCACTCTGTGTGTTGCCACCTCAAAAACAACACTAGAAACACCAATCAGCCCAGAGAGCTATTAGCACCTTTCTGGGAAGTTGTTTTTTTCCCAGAAAGCTGAAGAATAAACACATTTTAACTGAAAAACCAAATTTCATTTCCAAAGCCAGCATTTTCCTACTCACTTGCTTTCCTCATCCAGCAGGTGGAGCAGCCCCGTTGGCTTCTTGCTGATCAGGTTGATGCAGCTGGAGTTGTCTATGTAGTCAATGTTGTGCCAGCTAATTCCTTCTGCTCTATATTCCTCCTAAAAAACCCCAAAGCCCCACAGATGACATAATGATGATTTGGTGTAAGCAAAAAAAAAAGACAAAATCCAAAGGGTTTTGTGAAAACTGATACACTGTTTACCAAAACAGACATCCTGTAAATAATGCATCAATGCTTCCTGTGATTCCAAAGAAAAAGATAAAGAACCTCTGGAACGACCTCAAACAAAACGAAGCACAGAGCATTTCCCAATTTCAGGTGCACCAGAAGTTTCTTTGGACATGGGGTGGCTGTGTGGGGGTCCAAGCCTGCCAAGAACATCCAGCGTGGACTCCCCCTTTCCTTTTCCTGTATTGCCTCTTAATCACAGCACAGTTTGGGCTGGAAGAGACCTTAAAGCTCTTCTTGTTCCACCCCCTGCCATGGACAGCAGCAACTTTCACTAGCCAGGTTGCTCCAAGCCCTGTCCAACCTGGCCTGGAACATTTCCAGGGATGGGGCAGCTGTAGCTTCTCTGGGCACCCTGTGCCAGGCCCTCACCACCCTCACAGGGATCAATTTCTTCCCAATATCCATCTAACCCTGCCCTCTGGCAGTGGGAAACCATTCTCCCTTGTTCTGTCCCTCCATCCCTTGTCCCCAGTCCCTCTGCAGCTCTCCTGGAACCCCTTCAGGCCCTGGAAGGGGCTCTGAGCTCTCCCTGGAGCCTTCTCCTCTCCAGGTGAGCACCCCCAGCTCTCCCAGCCTGGCTCCAGAGCAGAGGGGCTCCAGCCCTTGGAGCATCTCTGTGGCCTCCTCTGGACTCACTCCAGCAGCTCCAGGTCCTTTTGATGCTGGATCCCAGGGCTGAGGCAGCTCTGCAGGTCAGGTCTCACCTGAGGGGGGCACAAGGGCAGATTCTTCTTCCCATGCTTTGGGATCTGAGGGGTTTTGGGGTTCCCAGTGATTGTGGCTGAGGCATGTGGAACTTCCCACCCATCAAAGTGTCACACAATTTGCATCAATTAATATTTAGCATTCAGTTGCTGGAAGGAAATTGTGCTACAATGCAGGAATTACACAGAAAAAGCAGCAAAGCTCCCTTTCCTGCTTCCGTATCTCCCGCTATTCATGGCTGCTGCTATCTGGGCTAACGAAGAGACCCCCAGCTAGCCAAAGCCACTGCTCCAAGACCAGCAGAACCACCACCCTCTACAGTAAAACTGAGGATCTGCCTTCAAATTCAAGCTCAGGCAAAAAATGCTCTTCATTTCCACCAAAATAGTTCTAACCCTTTCTCTCCTACAAAGGTTATCTCCCCTGAACATGCTTGCAACGGATTACTTCAAGAAGTCTTATGCAGAATTATTTTAGGGCATCTAAATGAAAGTAGAGTTTAAAAATCATATTTTTTATCATATGTTTGAGGACTTGTGACCCCATGTCTAACATGCATCTTACTCCATGTGTTGGACAAAGTCCTACTGATCCAGCTGCCTTTTTACTTCTCTATCACAGGACATTTTGATGTCAGAATTGAAGATAAAAAGGAAACAGGTTTCAAAAGCCTAATAGGATGCATCTTTCCAACAATAATCAGATTCATTATGATTGCTGCCTCTGTCTTTATTTTTAATATGAACAAACAACTTTAAAATAAGTATGCCCATCCTCATCCAAAATGAACATGAACTCCACAGATATTCTTAGAAATAAAGAGCCTGAAGAGCTTTGAGACGTTTCACGAGGAAATTTTTTGCTAAAATAACCCCTAGAATGTCTTGATTTCAGTATTGGAGACATTGTATAATCTTACAACAACAATACAGACAAATAGAGCTGTGTGTGCTGCCTTAGAAGGAGTTTCTAACATCCCTAAAGCCTTTGGGATTACAAAATATACAACATCCCATTGGGAAAAAGAAATTCAGAAAATAAGGAATGGCTCTGTATTATGAATTTTGTTTTCTCCTTTTATTTTTTAATCTTTTACCTTCACTTCTGGCTGAGCAACCAGGACACAGCAGAACCTCACAACAACATTCTCAAGTCCCTGCTGAACTATAGGCAATGAAAAATCACAAATTGGATTATAACTCATGGCACTTCCAGGGCAAGCCAGGAAAAAGCTTCTATGCAGCAATCGTAGGCTGTGTATCTCAGAGCAGGCATGAGCTGCTCCCGAGGGATTTCCCAGAGAGTCACTGGGATTCAGCACCATCCATCAACTGCCTACTTCCAACAGCCCCTTAATGGACTGCAGGGTCCATTAGGCCCAGCTTTGCCAGCTCAGGACTGCTCAGGAGCATGTGGTGAGCAATAAAACCTTGGTGTGATGAGCCAAGAGCAGCATTATTTCAGTGGTGGCAGGAGGGTGTTACCAAATTTTACATTTATTATCATGACTCTTTGTTGAAGTTCTTGTTGGGGGGCTTTACATATTTTGCCCCAAAAAGCCCCATAAATCATGTAGAGTTTTACATCTCCACACATCTAAGCTGAGAAACCATCGCTCTAGAAGGCCTCCAGACACCCACAATTCCACATGGGACACTCAGCAGCTGCACAGCAAATGTGCTGTGAAACTCCTCTGGCCACACAAAAAACTTACACTGCTGCTGGGATCAGTGAAAAAGCACTAATCAGCAATGCCAGATATGGAGTTTTTAGAAATAGTCTAGTAAATGACCAAAAAAGACCAGAGTCTGAGGTCTCTACTTCTCTGGACTAATTTTCAGCGGTTCCCCAGACCTGATGGTCAGTCATCAGGTCCCTCCTGCCTTCATTCCCTTCAGCTGTGGGATTTTGGCTATTTCTCCCTCCTCTGCTCCTTCTTCCTCTGAGCTGGGTCAGAAACACTCACTCCCAGGCTCTGGGGTTCTCCCCTCCCTTCCATCCCCCACACAACCTGTTCCCACTCTGGCCAAATGGGAAGAGGGATTCAAGTCATCAACAAACAACCTTTTCCACAATAACTCAGAGATTTGCTCTCGTTTCAAGACAGGCAGCAGGAACTATTCCAGAGCAACTGCTCCAAAGCTTAAATGAAGATAAATTCCCCTTACTTCTTTTTTCCTAGCATTTTCCCAGTTTTTCATTTGGGATTGCCTTCAGAATCTCAGCTCAAGGGATACAACTATGGCTTTGGGATGGCCTGATGTAATTTCTGCAGAACACCCTGCACACTGTCCACAAAAAGACAGAAGCTAGAGAATAAAATCATTGCTGTCTATTAATTAAACTGCAGTAGTTAATATTCCTTATGATTCCTATATTTGTTTTCCAATGACCATCTTCCTGCAGAATTCAGGAGATATCCTTACAAGCTACCTCCAAAACATTCCTTCATCTGTGAGTATGACAACAAAGCCCCTGCCATCCTTTGATGGATGCAGGGTCCTGGAGCACTGGAATATTAAGGAATTCCATTCAAACAACATGAGGTTTCCATTTAACAAGACAAAAACAACATGACACACTTTCAGTCCAATAAAAAATCAAAACCAAAAACACCCTCAAGCCAGAGGTTGATTAAAATCACCTTAAATGCATACCTTGATTTAAAACTAAGTTTTGTTTAGGCCCGCATTCAAATGTCCTATTCCTGGAAGATCATCTTTATATTAAGAACCAAATTGTTGACATTGCCACTATCTGCAAAAGTTTCTAGTGCAGTGAAGTCCACAGACCCCCAGTTTTGGCATCCTTTCTTGCAATAAAAACTTAAGGATTTACTCCTCCCATCCCTGGATACCTGAAACCTGATCTGCTGGAAAGTGAAGTGATGCAAGTTCACTGGAGAGAAGAGCACTGAGCTCCCAAACTTGGCAAAAGAAATGGAGCAAAGAACTGAAAAAAGACATTAAGGGTTTTTTTCAGTGTCCAGCAGCTTCATATTTTCATTTAATTATTGGGTGAGATGCTACAGATTGTTCTCCAGGTGACCTCTATGGACCCCATGAGGAAATTCCTGCTTCCCAAGTGGGAATTCAGAAACAACTTTGCTGCCCTAAGCATGGAGAGAGACCTTGGCAGTATGTCAGCACAGGGTCACTGAAGGGATCTGAATAAAACACAGTTTATGATGCTCATATATATTAAGAAAAGATATAAAATGGGGATGCAGACTTTGAAATGCATGTGGAATATGAGAGTAAATCTTTACTCTCACGCAGTGTTAGCTGAGGCAAAGCAGCATGTAAAATTTGGGGTACCAAACAGAGTGGGGCAGAATATCCAACATTTTTAAGTAGGAAAATTACTGGAACTCTAGGAAAGGGGAAGCTGTTAAAACTCTGTTAAAGAGAAACTCTGCCTGCCTACACTGACCCAGAGCACGAATGCTGCCCATGGCACAGAACAATGAATTTAAAATTAAAACACACATGCCGTGCATCAGGAAAAACCTTCCCAACTGGGCTGCAAGGCCTGATGGAAACCCTCCTGCTAGGAACAGAAATATAGTGTAATTTTATAGTTGGAGTTGTTGAGAACCAAGTCCTGTTATCTCTACAGGAGTGTTGGACCATTTCTGTTATCAGGACTTTATTTTGGTGCTAAACCAAACCAAAACACTCTAATCCAGGGCAGAATTAGAGATTTCTTTATCCTGAGTGGGAGAAAACACCCACAAGCCAAACAAAACCTTGGAGATGCTGGAAAATGTCTTTACACCTCCACATGTGATCATCAATTACTCTGTACCCAGCCACAGTCATCAGTAAATAAACACAAATGCTAAAAAGTGTAACTAGGGGAGAAAAAGTTAAAAATTATTTTTAAACTCACACTTATCTAGACAGGATATCTGTGAAAAATATGGTATCTAAATAAGATATCTAAGCTCCCTTTGGAGTATCAGGGTTCCTGGGTGCTGCTGCTACCCAAAATCATGTGGTAAAATTCAGAGGTGGGGAGGGAGGGACCAGGCTTGAAAAACTTCAGAGAAGAGGAAATGCAGAGATTAAATGAAACTGAAGACATGATAAAAATACAAACTAAAAGCCATAATAAATTCCCTGCCAGTCTAAAAGCACAAAACTCAGGGCTTAGGAAAGT